AAGGTACGGTGTTCAAATCCCAGCCCGAAAATTACGTCCTTTGGCAAGACGTTAATCTACATTTTCCACTCTCCACCCAGGTGTTAAATGGGTACCTGGTAGGATGCAAAAGTTTATGAAGTTTGCTCGGCATTGTGAGCGTCTGTAAAATGACGCCTGACTGGAATGCTCCCCAGTGAGTGGATAATGTGCATACATTGTGTACGGGCAAGCCTGAATCCGATGACCGGGGTAATAATATACCATGTAAATATTTCTCCCTCAATCATTGTCTTTTTCTGCTGTTCCTTTTTCATCTTTAAAATACTTTGGTTAAACGTATAAAGTTATATCAATCGAACAGCAGTATATGTCTTGCAGGTTTAGCGCGAACGGACTGGAGAGTGATCGCTTTCTCGAATTTTCCCGAGCGTTTTTTACCGACTGAAGCGAGATATGCATGGGTCATGTTGGTGATAATCGCTTTGTCGATTCGCTCGGCATCCTTTTGAGCCAGATGAACGTATCGAATATTGATGTTGGCGCGCCTTTCTACGCTGTTGCTTAACGACGCGATGTGATACACTAATGATTATAGTCTTTTTCATTAGAGGACTAATCTACGCAGTGACCGTGAAGTTGAAAAATGGCATCTTGGAATAAAAAAACAAAAAGGATAATCCAACAAAATAGGGGAGCTTTCAGTGCTGGAAAGTATCCAGTTTTCAAAATATAAAATATACGTGTACCTTTTTAATATGTGGCACACTCAAATGACACATTTGCTCTCTTGCAACGAGTGTCGACCGGCCTGCCGACAGAGACAATATGCAAAAATGAACAATAGGACGAAGCGAATGTATTGTTCATGTGCCAATTACCCATTTCCTGCCTCTACTAAGATCTACACCATCATACATTTATGCAGATGTAATTTTTTTCCCCCTCTTATCCTCAAGCAAGGTTTTTATTTCCATAATTTCAATACATATTTACATTAAATACTCAATGATTGAGTGAAACATAACATAGGCTAAAAATTAAAGTCTATTCAAAAATTCTTCCAGCTTAGTATTATTTTTTTTGCCAACACATTTATACCTTAGCAACGACTTAAATATGTGTGGCGCAGAAATGGTCAACAGAATTAATCAATCAATTTCAATCAATTGTCTTTCCTCACATCTCTCATCATGTGCTCAGTATATATGTTCTCGTTTCTCCCGCTTCCCCTCTCTCTCTATTTCTCTCTTTCTCGAGCCCCTCACTCTTTCTCTTATATATTTTATATATTATTTCCATCATATATTTAATTATCAGACGCATCTATTACAAGCACTCTGCTTCACAGGATTTTACAGCATATTCTTAGTTTTATATCATAATACTTTTGATGATACTATCATCATATGCACTGCCAGTATTAAAGTAGTTTTATTGATATCAAAATATTTGTTATTGTTACTTTTATTATTATCATTATTAATGTTGTTATTATTATAATTATTAATGTTGTTATAATCATTAATGTTGTTATTATTAGGCCTATAATTATTGTAATTATTATTATTATTGTTATCATTATCATTATTATCATAATCATTGTAGTAAAGATCTTAGATATAGCAGTACTTGTTACAAAATCAAAATGATGTAATACCGCAACACAACGACATCATTTGATGTAAATAATGAATGGCATGTTAATGCCTTGGGAAATACGACATGCGTCACACTATTTTTTAATCAGCCGAGAAATATGTATGTTGCCAAGGAAACATCACGGAAATATACATAAACATTCATTTATTTGGGAACTGTATAGACGAAAAAATTGAATGTGAAACACTAAAAGTGAATGTTAGGTTGCCACTGCCCCCCCCCCCCCCCTACCTCGGCAAAAACGCAACATTCATGATTTTGGGGAAATTTTCGGAGAAAAAAAGGGAGATTTTAAAAGATAAAAAGCGTGAAAAGTCGTGATAACAAGATAAAATCAGCTACTGATATCTCGGCCTACTCTTATGTTTGAATAACATGTATACCGGCAATTAAAGATAAAGTTGAGTTCTGATCATGTGATTGCATTGTGAAAGAAACGGTGTGGAATCTATCAGGAAATGTTGATCATCTAGTATATAAGCACTGTACACAGAATGATGTATATGGGACTACACGAGCACATGCCGAAAAAAACCTACCCCCGATTTTTACGATGTTTCATGTCATATTTAGAATATGAAGGCATTTGAAGAGCCATGCTTTTCAGGGAACATGTTTAATCTGATGTTCTTCCACCCTTGCATACTAACAATGATAACGCTCACAAATTATTTTTTACCTCTTCTCAGAACTCAACCTTCTCTTTAAAGGTAATGAGTGTGTGTGTTTGTGTGGGATGGGGCTCTAGTCTTACCTCCCTTAAGTTTGCCTGTTTCTGTTGCTAACATAACCCTTTGGTTTTGACAGTGTTAATTCACATATTGGTTACTATAATCGTCATATATGCTGGGCATCTTGAATCTGCCAAGTCTTATTTACAAATCAGTTCAAACCAAAGGCTTTTCCTTCAATAAGGTCCACACTTGTAACTGAATTCTCGAGGACAACCATTTGAGTCGTCAAGATTAAATTAAGAATATGTCATTTTAGCGTTCCCGTTTAAATAACAAATTCAATTTGAAATTGTTGACGTTCTAGCTTTGTTGAATGCCTTCCAAATAGTGGTATCCCATCGTAGAGAGCAGAGTGGGAAAATGTCAGTATGCGTGTAAACCATGACGAATATGCTCGCAAGGCATCGAGTAAATGTGAACGCAAATAAAAATCGATGGTATTCGTTGTATTTCAGCCTTGGAGTTCTTGAATAGGAAGATGAAAATGTCATTTATCCTGATGTAATTATGCTGAAAGCCTCCAAGGTCTCAAACTCTTTTCATGATCAACCCGTTACTTTACAAGCCGTTTTTTTTTTCGACAAGCATTGGCATATGTTACATGAAGGGTTCCAGTATTTTCAGTACGCCTCTTTTGACACCTATAGATTTTGATATGCTGTACTGATTTGTTGCATACCTGTCTATGTACACCCTCAGTAAATTTTAAGGAAAATACATTAACATATTTTAAAAAATGATTTCGAAGGCGGCAATGACGCAGTGTCTTAGTTAGTGAATTTAGAAAACTAAATAATGCATACACCTAATTATTATTTTTTTCTTCCATTAAAATTGTCTTTTTTAGGCCTCCCTAACCCCCTCGATATGTTTAACCTCATAAAAGGGATAAACCATTTCCAAAGAAGCAAATTTCTCTCTTAAACACAATAAACGATGATCCTTTGGGCTGCATATGATTACGATTTTCGAATCATCTAACATATTTCACTCGAAGAAAAGAATGCTAAGACCTACCTCGAATTACAAGCAGTTTTCTAGCCATCATTAGTGGGAACGGAGGCTTAAGAGTGTAACATCGGACCTTGGTGCTAGAAAGCGTCGACTACAATGACACCGAAGGTCGTCATTCATAGTAATAATAATAATACTAAAATGATGATGATAATAATAACTATGATGATGATTACAGTAATAGATACATTTATATCGCGCGAATATCCATCCTTGTATAGTGAGGCTCAAGGCGCCTACAAAGTACTATTACCAGACTGGCTTTGACCCAGCTGAAATACTAGTTAGGTACCATTATAGACCTGGGTGGAAAGCGGCAAATGTAGATTGCAATGTCTTGCATATCAAGTTGGAAATACGTTGGTTATCTAGAAAAGGCTGCATTCCAGATGTTGATCGTTGATTTATTATTCCGGCTCCTCGTACTATTTCGATTAATGAAACACGACGAAAGAAGATGGTCCATGGGGCATCAGCACAAATACATGTACATGGAGTGCTTTTCACCATGAAGTAAATGCTCTGGGTGAACATGCGGAATTGGTGTCAATATTAAGAGTCTGTAACTGCAGAATAAAAGGGTGGGGGGGGGGGCTTCTTATATCAGGGGAAAACAAGCCAGGCCAAGCTCGTGTATTTTCAACTTTAAAGAGTAAATGCAGATTGAAAGGAAGAAAAAAACCACACAATACCAAAGAGTTGCTGGTATTATCTCTTTGACAATACCAGACATTACCGATGCTATGCACAGTTGAACATTACCCAATAGAGAGGTGAGTGCATGTTGTGAATACGTTGTAGACATTGCGTTTTAGTGTCATGATCCCATGAAAATATACCACTGCCATCATCATAGTTTTAGCGGCTTAGCCCTTAGCTTAGCTTGGAACTAAAGCTTGTACATGCATCTCGGGATTGTGAATTGGGTAAGGATATGCTACTACCACAAGTCGATAACTATATGTAGATGATGCAATGTGTATGTATTATAATGCTTGTAATAATTAGATATGTCTGAATTAATGTTTTATTCTTTAACAATGTTAAGTGTATGTATACTTAGGTGTTATCCAGGCTGTATTAGGAGTTTAGTGGGGGGGGGGGGGGGGGGTGCATGCATTATATAACATGGGTGGACCCTTTTTTAGGGCCCGGTCGTAATACCCCGAGCAGGGGGAGGGTTTGGAGGTGGGTGCCCCCCCCCCCCACCCCCCAGCGTAGAGAATTTTGGCTGATACTGTAACTAAGCGTAAATATATATATATATATGCAATATCTATAAATTACAATTCTTCGTTTTGACGTTATATCCTTTTGAAGGTCCCCCCCCCCCCCCCCCAAGAAAAGGCCCAATCTGACTGGGAGGGTTAATATAATACCTCGGCTCGGCCCTCGATCGATTCAGCTCCTAGCTTGATCGGCTTTCATCTCTAACATACCGGTAGGCCAAAGTCCAGTGTATCGATGCATGAAAACATTATCTCTCATTCAGCTAGCAAGCAATCAGGTACACTGTATATTATGCAACAGTTTCAGGATAATTCCATATACCTGTGTGCAATTTTCAATCTATTCTTCCCTTATCACTTGGCCTCATTTTATTACCGTACACACAGATCGAGTATGAGGGCTGTCTGGCAAAATCTTGGTTCTATGTTTTACAGAAGAGACAGAAATATCAGGTAAGACAAGTGATTTTGATTTTATACTCTGAAGAAGAAAAAAATTAGAGGATTGGATTTGGTTGAATATAGATTTGTTTTCTCTTTCACTTCAGATTTATTATACTTTTCTAACGACACGTATAGTATATGTAGGTTGTATAGCAAAATAAATACCGATGTATACCCAAACGTTGTGTGTTATTATTACTCCAGTTCTGGTAGGCTACCATTTTCGGTACTCATAGCATTCAAGGAATCCCTTCCTACCAGTGCTCATCTAACACTTGGATGGAAAGAGGCAAATGTAATGTCTAGCCAAAGAACATTAGGGCTCTGGCGGGACATGCTCCGCAAAACATGTGATTAACAGTCTGACGATGTATCCACTAGACCTCGACAGCTCTTCGTAGAAGAAAATTTTAAAGGTAAAGACCAGTATTGGAAACGCCCCAATTTCAAAAAATGAAATGGAAGCTCTTATTACCAATCATGTGAAAGAATATGTTTTGACTAATACATGATGATAACATTTTTGCCAGGAAACCGCCTACGTACTAAATATATTTGGTAAATTAGTTTACCTACATGGTCTGTGAGAGATAAACGCATGTGTCGCGCACGTGTGCGTATTGTCCCATATACATCTTTCTGTGTACAGTGCTTGTAACTTTACGAAGACTGCATGGGCCAAATTTCTTATCATTTTGATGATTCCAGAACCTTGCAGTACACACCAATACTTATATGCTAGAGGATCAACCTTTTCTGATCGATTCCACAACGTTTCTTTCACAATGCAATCGCATGACCATAACTGGTCTTTACCTTTAAGTAATTGCGACACCATTTTCTGTGTTTCTGTGGATCGAAGAATATGTCTGCGGGTGAAAAGACATCTCCTAAAGATATAAAGTTTAAAAAGTCTGTATATGCTTGGGCACTTTTTGATATTAATGAAAGGGAAATATCTTGCTATAGGTCGGGAAAGTGGAGGAATGCCCCTCCCCCTACACACACACGCACACGCACACACACACGCACACACCCACACACATACACACAAACACACACTTTTTCATTTTTAAGCAATTTTGTTTTATTTCTCCAAATGTGTAATACAAACCATGACATACAATTGAATAAAATAAACGTGTTCAACACACACGTACGCACGCACACGCACGCGCACACACATACACACACACACGCACACACACCAATCCAGCCTCTGCCGCACTGGTCACGTGGACCAATTTCCTTCCGATATTTATATCGCTTGATATTTTAAGGCTCATGCCCAAATTGTCTCTCCGATTCGGAAGTTTAGTTGTTTGGACATTGGCGAGGCCCAAACAGACTTGGTTCATACACTGAAAAAAGTACATGCCCCATTATCAATGTTATCTATGGCTACAGTAGCTATTTGTTGTTAATAAATTAATAAAACATCACTAGTATCAAAGGAAACTGGTCCAACTACTTTTATTTCCACATTGCTGATTATGGGGGTGGTATATTTATCAACTCGTTGGTAATTGCATTCTCTCTTTCCCTCTCTCTCTCTCTGCCCCTCCCCCTCTTTCTCCTCTGCATTTCTCTCCCTCCACACAATTTGAACGATTCCATATAATCCCACGCACCCCTTAAAAATTCTTTAATGCCTTGGAGCATCGTTCAAGATCTATTTATGCCAAAAAATACGAGGAAGGGAAATCGCTTCTTGGAGAAAAAAGGGGGTGCGATTGTGCAAAAATGTGCAAAAATTCTGACATTTCTTTATGTGACCAAGAATCATGAATAGACCACCTCGCTTCATGTATATAAGGTGAACGTTTGTCAGAATATTGGTAACTTAAATATTCTTCTTCTTCATAGAAATATAATTTTTGCATTTGCTTTTTCCATTATTAGAACGACATTACCAAGAAGTACAACTCCCTAGCTGAGAGATGGAGAAGGGACACAAAGTACGCCGTTGGTTTGTTCTACTGTGTGCTCACATGAGCATGGTCATCTTCGCAGGAACCTACCGTTCTCTTGGAGTATTTCTAGTGGAATGGAAGGACTATTTCAACACTACCTCGACCGAAATCAGTGCAATCATTACCGTGTTAGCAGCATCAGGACTTCTCTCTGGTGAGAACATTTGGCATCTTTCGGGATCGGGGCAGTACTAAAATACTGTGTGCTCCAACATGTATTGTTTGAGGAACATCCAGTTCACAATTATTACATATTAACCATGGAACCTGCAGAATCAATAATGTCTTTAAGATCATAGGGTTAGGGTAAGGTACAGTGCTGGGTCCAGGTTTGAAGTAAGGAATGATGTTGGTAGGAAACTAACACGGAGCACTACTTGTTGAGGAAACAGATGTCGTGCAACCCAATATTGTGGTATCAATACGGTTTTCAACTCGAAATGCCTTGCTAAAGAACATAACATGGTTGCAAGACTTTCATGTTTCCACTTAAGGACATTATCAATATCTGACTAGAAATCACGTTTACATTACATAATACCCAACTGTTATGTTTGTCACATCAACAGATGACACATCAGGCCAATGTGGATGATTTTGTTTTATTATCGAAAGGCTCAACGATTGTTTGTTTGATTTGAATTTCGGCAAAGAAAATTCGCCTACCGATGCTTATGACGAAAACATGTATATAAACATAATAGGTCACATAGTTATACTTACAAATTAAAAATGATAACTCTATAACATTTGTTTTTGTTTATGATTTTATTTCATTTCATTTCATTTCATTTCATATTTCATTTTAAGTCATTTCATTCATATTAAATTTGTTTTTCTTTGGCGAGTAAGCTCTATAAGGATAGATGATGTGCGTGTACGCGTAATGTGGAATATACATTGGTCGAAGGACCGACCTTTAACGTAACCTTCCTCAAGACGTGACTCACTTTCGAACCGTGTTCTGTCAGAGTCAGAGAGATGACCGTAACGCTACACCAAATGACACCTCATGTGTGACATAATTTTGTAAACTTTTTTCTAGGTTCTTCAGTAGCATGTGCCCATATTTTTCTAATAAAGTTTTGTTCCTTTTAATTGTAAGATGATTATATCACTTTACTTTCCCCGACAGGGATTCCATCTGGCATTGTGATTACCAGGTATGGGTGTCATTACGGCAGTCTTCTTGGAGGCATAGCATTCGTCAGCGGAACAGTCACAAGTGTTTTTGCCCCCAATCCTCTTGTTCTCTGCTTCACGATGGGTTTCGTGACAGGTTGGTATAATCATCAAGCTCACACCATTATGACATAAATGCTGGAGGCAAACAAGGCCTTATTTCATGTTAACTAACACGAACATTAAATGGGCTATTGTTAATTTTTTGTAAAGTGCTAAGGTGTTTGATTTTCGCACTTACCACTTGTTCACGAAGTATTCGATATACGAGAAAGGGAAGTTGTTTCTCGAAGAGGAAACATGATGAAGAATGTATCCTCTGAAGCTGAAATGTACATTTCAGAAATACATACAATGCATTCTGTTTGTCTTTAAGTTGAGTTGTCTTACAATCGTTAAGAAACTGCATGATTGGAAGATGAAAAGGCCGTAACCTTTTCCCCCTGACTTAGTCTCCGGACTAATATCCATGTTTAACTTTGTTCATAGCATGGTACTTAAGCAATATCAAAATCAAAACGATCAATCTGTTGATGTTCATGACTAATGAAGTCACAACTCCAAATATTTTTCCCTAAGTGCGCTACATGTAAGTAATACGCGTGTGCTCATTTATGTGCGTGCGTGTGTGTGGGGTGTATGTGGGTGGGAACCTAAGCACATAATTCTGTTCATTAACAAATGAATTGCGCTCTTTTTCAATTTGTCCTCCTTTCCTAAGGTCTGGGGATCGGAGCGGTGAGAAATTCTGCTGTAGTGGCCATTGCACAAGTTTTCAAGAAGGGCTTTTCGCGAGCAAATGGTATAGCATTGGCTGGCGCGAGCATTGGTATGATGTTAGTTCCTCCCCTTCTCCAGCTTTGCATAGACCAATATGGATGGCGAGGGGCACTCCTCATTTTAGTCGGCATACAAATGCATCTTTTCATCGTTGCCCTGATATTCCGACCGCCACAAAGGGTAAATGTGCCAGAAGAAAATCAAACTAAGTCAAGGCCGGCTGTCCGTGGTGGCAAGAATGAAACCAAAGAACACGAACTAGAGCCCCTGAGAGGTGTACATGGTGACAATAGCAAAAGCACTTGTTCAGACGTGACTTTACACCTTTCATCTGCTAAAGATATATCTCAATCGGTGGATGAGAAACAAAAGTTGAACACGGGTGATGATATGACAGCTCATAGTCATGTTGATACGGAACCTGATAAAACAAAAACTGATCATGATGAAATTCAGAAAACCACAGAAGATGATCATGAGATAGACACGGAACAAAATTGTCTAGGTGTCGCACAATCGCCAAAGATAAACGGAGATTGTGAAGGCGTCGCAAAATTTTGTACCAAAGAGATTGATATAATTGAGCGAGATGGAACAGAAGTTTCGAATAAAAGACATGGACCTTCTCATGAACACTCTGGCTTGAAGGAGAATGAATTACTCATGAACTTGAGCGATGAAGTAAGAATCAACGAACCTAACGGTGATGGTCCATCCGCTCCTTGTGCTTCCAACCGACGTCCGTCTCGTCTCCAGAGAGGTCTCCATTTCTCAGGACTTAGTCTCTTCTGCAATAACGTTGGATTCTGCTTACTCAATCTGTGTCAGATCATGATTGGTCTTTGCTACACAGGAATCTTAACCCACCTTGTGGCCAGTGCCGTATATGACGGCATTGATCAGCAGTCCGCATCGTTTCTCTTGTCTGTCTTTGGTATCGGCAATTTAATTGTGCGGTTGGCTAGTGGTTGGCTGGTAGAACTACACTTTCTTTCTCCAGAACATCTCTATGTCCTGGCTGTGGTCGCCTTTGGAGCCACTATGATCGTGAGCAGAGCTTGGAGTTCATATGAATGGTAGGTATACCGGTGTCTTCTAGCAGTTCTACGTTTTTATTAAAACTCTCTTGTTTTCATCACCCGGGGGCAGCAAAGCCGATAATGGAGGTAAAGGAAGCACAATGCTCTTATTTTTTTGACCACACGACAAAAATGAAAGATTGGGTAAAAAGTCTGATTTGTGGGCTTTCCAAACCATCATTTAATTGAAAATTAATTTCACCCACAAAATATAATTTTGGTTATAAAAAAAGAGCGATTAGTACAGGTATTAATCTGTATTATATTCTTCGTAAAGCAACAACTATTTTTGTCTAGAGTTAATGAGACATTTCCTGTTTTTCATTTTTGTTTAAATATTAGAAATACATATTATGAGGATAAGTGGTACATTTGTGCTATAAATGGAAAAAGAAATGAGTTCCCAGTCAGATGGCTTATCCTATAGCATGTATTTGAATAATGTATACAAGTAGCTTCTTTGTCTCTATATACAATACAAAGTTGGGAGAGTTATTCTAGACACAGTTCTTCCTACTTTCCTAAATAATTCAGGTGACTACTTCTCATCAAACAAAGAACTCAGCCACAAGTCTCTCGACCGTCACAACAAGCCTGGTAGTGAGGAGAACATTTCACAATCATTAAAAACATTATTATGTTTTACTTTCTCTCTAAATACGATTCTTACAAAATCATACATCTTTATTTCTTCTCCTCCTACATGTACTAGGTATGTAGTCGTCGCCATTTTATTTGGACTTTCATCAGGGCTTTTCAGAACACTGGACTCTGTTGTTCTTAAAAGATACGTGGGAATGAAATACTTTGCCAGAGCTATAGGGGTCTTCTATGCTTTCTCCGGTGTTGGTGACCTAATTGGTCCCGTTTTTGCAGGTAGGTCTATGCAAAAAGGAACACTTACTTTATCAGAAGTCTCTAAGCGCTCTACAATAATGCAGCATAATTACCCTGGCTTCAGCAGTGCAGCTGTAACGCGCGCTGCGTTTCAAGGAATAAATTCCTACCAGGTACCCATTTACTTCACCTGGGTGGAGTGTGAAAAATGGAGATCAATGTCTTCCAAAGGACATTAGTGCCGCGGCGGGACTCGAACCGTGGACCTTTTGATCGACAGTCCGAAAACCCGAAGCGTTACCGCAATCGGACACTTAACCACTCGTCTGCTAAGAACAAGAAGGGCAATAACTGAATCTTCTCCAACACAGACTGAGTTAGTGTCCTTTTGGATTCAAACAGACTGGCCTGTCTTGGTAATGGACATGAAGATAGATATTTTCGTGTAGCCAACCATCTGTTCATACCTGGTACTTAAACATATACCGTATATGATAAAAGACAAAATATTGATTTTGATTTTCTCTTCAGGTGCGCTATATGATGCAAGCAACTCATACGACCTACCTTTCTATGTGGGTGGATCAGTTCTCATTGTATCATCTGGTCTCTTACTCCTGGAACCACCTCTTCGACGACTCAAGGAGAGACGGCAGGCAAGGTCAAGAATAGATTCGGATGAATCTGCAGTTTAAAAAACAAAGATGTGCAATAAATAATATCATTGCTGGGCCCTCAAGGCGAACGTTTTTACTAAGTCTACTGATAAGGTTATCCGGGGTAACAAGGTATGCGTACCCGAGAATGTAGGTTGGAGGTAGCTTGAACAATCGCCTCCCCATATTTCAGGGCCTCCTCGCAAGAGAAAGAAAAGAGTGCCGTATAGATGTAAAGTTTCAACTATTGCAAGAACCTCGATTTTCTTGTTTATAGTTAGTGATTTTTGACCCCTCTAAATGGTTTACCCTTTTAAGACAAGCAAAATAGAGGAACAATATGTGAAATAATTTTGATGTATATGGTAATCTATAATTGGCCTTATTTGTTTTCTTATGCTCGCAAATTGATGCATAGTATTACAATATTTCTTGTTCTCTACAATTCATCGACCACAAAGCTCTGAATTGGGGCGGGGGGCTGAGGGCATGCAGGTGTTACCTCTACAAAAAAAGAGGGTAATTAGTTTTCCTGCCCCCCAGCAAGACGAAAAAGTAATTTGAGATCAATCATTTTGTAGCAAAGTAGAAGAGAATTATATTTATAGCGCTCTAAAATACTGTACAAAGTTTCAACTAAAACTCTAAATGTTCTCACACGCCCCCCCCCCCCCCGCATATTGAAATAATCATTATTTCAATTCAATTCAATTCAATTTCATTTCAGTCAGTTAAAAAGATAACGTTACATATAACAATCACATACATAACATAAAAATACACATTAAGAACGTATTTGACGAGGACGTAAAATAAACTGAATAGGTTGCAACCTGAAAAGACACATAATCCTTGTATAAAAAGTTGGCCCTTTTTTATGAAAAAAAGAAGAAATATATTCGTTACCAAAATTATACAATACACAAATCAAGACAAATAAGATATGTCTTGAATTCAAATGATCATTGCAATTTACTCAAAATATATTCCGTTTAAATCCTAAAAATCCTAAAATAATTTTAGCCCGAAAGTCAGTAAGACATCATGGACCCCATAAACCAGATGTTTGGAACTCCTTACAAAACTCCATAAGGCATTGTTCATCTCTCTATTCTTTTAAAGCATCTCTCTAAAAAAATCTTATATCGAAGTATCTGCATAACTGTTTTCAATATGCAGTAGGCAATTATCATTAATATCTCAAATTTTGGTCACATTGCAACTCATCTTTGCAAATTTCGTATTCTATTCCGTATTCTCGGTTTCCTTTATCAAAAAGACTACTTTTGTTTCCACTCCACCATACAACACATAGCTACGTGCACATCATAGAGATAGTAGTATATATCTCTATGGTGCACATCCACTATTCGCTACACACAAACACGCACGCTCGCGCGCACATTCACACACACGCGCACACGCACACACACACACGCACCCACACACAATATACACTCACACCACACGCTCACAAACTCATACACAAAGATACATTTTTTTTATTTTAAGTTTTACCTTAAGATTTTTATTTTGAGGCCGCCATCCTAGTCAAGCAGTCAAGCATCTCTTATGATTGCGGTCTTTGCACTTTTTCAACAGATAGTTCGGATAATAATTACCTTTAATTTGTAATAATACATTATAGAAATATTAAATTTCGTTATTACATGTACATAATTATGTTTTTTTTTTTTAAATTGACATAAAGTTTTATTGTTTGTTTATTTTGTATTATACCTTATATTTATATGTTCTTTGTTATTCAGTTATTATATTTGGAAAAATGCAAACATTAAAATCAAATCATATCAAATACATTTACACTAGCAGAATTATGTATGTAATGAGGAAGAGTGTTCCACAGAAACGGTCCTTGGAAAATAATTATTATTTAAGACAGAACAGTAGAAATCCAGTCTACGCCAAGGCCATAGTAATTTGGTGTTTGGGGTTCTTCAGTGGATGGAGGGGGGGGTGCAAACTCATTTTAATGACGAATGTTTCTTATCATTGTTCATACTTGTCTCAAGCGTGTGTGTGGGGGGGGGGGGAGCGGGATGATACTTAACGCCGTTTCGTTAACGATCAGCCATGCATCAAGTCTTTCGTCTTCTTTAATTTGTGCATGGCTGATCGTCAACGAAAAAGAGTTAAGTCTTTTGTCAAATCTATTTGTTGCTGCGGCAGGCAGCCAGTGAAAACGAGCTCGTTTAATCAAATTATGGAAATGCAAACTTTTGTGATTCGGAGCTCATTTTTCCTGATTGAGTTCTCATATGAAAGGGCAGAAATTGAACTTTCTAGAAATGTGATTTTCTCTTCGAAATTCAGATACCGCCCGCCAAATGACTTGTTGGCTTCCTCTCTTCAAATTTGTTTTAATCACTCATGCATGGAATATGCATCATATGAGTTGCATCAAATGAAAGAGGAGGATCTAAGCTTTACAAACATGTGTCATTTATTAATTATAATTGTGATCAAGTTATGATAAAACATCGATAATTCTCGGTTTCGTTTTTTCTGGGACGCACTATATATATATATATATATATATATATATATATATATATATATATATATATTTATTTATATTTTCATACCGATCTAGTTTTTGAAAAATTCTATCATATTCTATATTGATGTAAAGCGCTCTGAAACAACGGTAAGTTTTTTTAGAGCGCTATGTAATTATTGTACTGTATTTTAAATACAAATATTATAAATATATAAATTGTCATAATGTCATGAAAACCATAACCCACACAGACTGAATGTTCCGTAGATGATCCAAATGTGCAACTTGAAATAAATTTGGACATGGTATATCATCTCAATAACAAGTCGCGTATAATATAAATTCACCTTTGACTCATGAAATAAAATGTGTCCCTGCCCATTTCTCTTTCTTTCAATATTTTTTCTTTCCATCTTCAGCTTTCACTTTCTCAATCTTTATATCATTTGTTATCTCTTCTTCTTCTTCTTCTTCCACTTCTTCTTCCTCTTCTCCCTTCCACCTCTCGTTCCAGTATTTTTTTTTGTTGGGGGGGGGGGTAGAGGGGGGGGGGGGGGCAGTGAGAGTGGTATTACGCTGGAGCCTGTTTCTCAATCCAAACACCTTTTCCACACATTTTAATTGCTTTTGTACTAGAATATGTTTACTGTTGTGTTGCTGCCTTTTGGCACACTAATCATTCTGTTTACATGATCATGAAGTAAAATGTCATCGTAGGGAGTGCAGCATATACTATATACTATTAACCACTTTCAGTTTAAAAAAAAAAAGCATAAATAGGTTGAATCGGTTTGGGGTAGGGGCCGGAGGGGGGGGGGCTGACATATGTGATTAGTGTATATATCATTATATTCATTATAGTTACCGGTACATATTTTTTTGTCGACAATGATCTCGCTACTCATCACACTCTTGGATTGTTACTTTTTTCAGGACTTTCCCAAAGTTTAATAGCAATATCATGGAATGTACAAAATATATAGATATGAAATAATATCATGTTTGACATTATAGTCACCCTAAAATAAGGATAATCCTAAAAATATCTAAATGAGTTTTTCATAATATGAACATACAAGAAATTTAGTACGCTTTGACTCATGTCAGGAAAATTAATTATTTGTTATCTCTGACAAAAGAAAATTCTATGCACAATGCACAATTGCACAAACTACAATCATAAGTTCAAGCTTGGTTCCAACGCTATATATAACTGACCCTAGCCATGACCCTAAACCTAAAAACAAACAAAAAAGAAAAACTGTCGGTGTTTGATTCACCGGTTTTTCTGAGAGTGAGCATTTACACTACAAAAAACGGTAGCATTTCTGCAGGTATTTAAACAAAAAACACTCCAAAGGTCGGGTTTTTCGTCGTGTTTATGGGTATACAACTTCCAACAATTAAGCGGTGTATAAATGCCCTGGTCGATTGATAATTTCGTGTTCCATGTTGCTTGACACATTTTAGGAAGAAATCGCACTGTGGTGTTCGAGTATTGTTTCATAACAATAATTATTGTATGTACATGTATTTTGTTCAGAGTATTATATTATTTGCCATCTCTCTCTCTCTCTCTCTCTCTCTCTCTCTCTCTCTCTCTCTCTCCCCCCCCCCCCCCCCCCCCCCTCCCTTCCTCCTATAGCGCTCCCTCTATCTCTCCATTAAGTCAGGATCTTGATTTTTATGCTTCCCTCTGTTTCTGTTTGTCTCTCCCTTTTCGTTGTATCTCCCGCTTTGGCCCCGCTTTGACAATTTGTCTCCCCATCTTGATCCTTCCCCCATTCTAGCGTCAGCTCAACCGAGAACTGACTCAAGATGCCGAATTGGTGACAATTATAGAGTCTGTAACTGCAGACTAAAAGATAAGGGGAGGGGCTTGTTTTATCCGGGTAAACAGCCCAGGCTCGGATGGACCTTGATGTAAAGAAAATCCGCAGTTCATGTATTTTCAACTTCAAAGAGTAAATGCAGATGGATAGGAAAAAACACCACACAATACCGGAAATTACCGAATAGCATGCACGGTTGCAGATAACCCATGGTGAGTGCATGCATGTTGTGAATACGTTGTAGACATTGCGTTGTACTACATACAATACATGTGTATATATGTCATTCCATGAAAATGTACCACTGCCATCATATACTCATAGTTTAACTTAGCGCCTTACACTTACATGCATGCTTGTTTAATTAGTCTACATGCATCTCGGGATTGTGAATTATTATAGGTATGGGTATGCTGTATACTATAGTAATGTATAACCAGGGAGATGTAGTGCAAGACTTGCTAAGTATGATGAAATGTGTATGCTTGTAATGAGATATATTATGTGAGTTAACGCATTTAGTTAACCATGTTATTGCTAAGTCCTAGTGTTTGTACTTACTGTATGTGTTTCTATCCAATAGGATTTTAGTGGGAGGGGGGGGGGGGTGCACACATTATATTACTGTAGGTGGACTCTTTTGTAGTTTTGATGGCCTGGCTGTATAGCCCCCTAACCCAAACAGCTAGGGGAAGGGGAACTGAAGGTGGGTGTCCCCCCTCCTCCCACTGCCCCTCCCAGCATAGGGAAATTGCAATTCTTTGTAATTGAGGCTATATCCTTTTGAAGGTGCCCCGCCCCCTTCCTGTTAATGCACCCCTTCCCACTTTGAATGCCATATGCTGCCCCTGACTGATCAACCTCTGCCTCGATTCAGCTCATAGCTTTATCAAGTTTCATCTCTGAAAGCGAATGATAACATACCGGTAGGCCAAAGTCCAGTGTGTCATTGTCTCAGCATGAAGACATTATCTCTCATCCACCTATTATAATAGCAAGCAACAGTGTCATAATATTGCCATATATGCCTGGGTGAAATTTCCAATCTATTCTTCCCTTATTACTTGGCCTCATTTTATTACACACAGAGTATGCATGAGGACTGTCTGGCAAAATCTTGGTTCTATTTTTTACAGAAGAGACAGAAATATCTGGTAAGACAAGTGAATTTTGATTTTATACTCTGAAGAAGAAAAAATGAGAAGATTGGCTTTGGTTAAATATAGATTTGTTTTATCTAGCTTTTATTACATTATACTTTACTAATGACATGTATAGTATACAGGTACGTAGGTTGTATATAGCAAAATAAATATAAACCCAAAAGCTGTGTGTCCGAACCAGGCGCGTATGCAGGGGGGGGGGGTGGGGGTGTTTGGGGGGTTAACCCCCCCCCCTTTGGTATTTTTATGTGTATAAACCCCCCTAAAAAAAAAATTAAAAAAAAATTATTCCCATGGCTGACCTAAAAAAGGTGACCTTACTCCCCCCCCCCCCCCCCCAACGGAGCAAAATGTCAAATTTTCAAATTTCGAGACCAAAAAAAAAAAAAAAGTGTCCTCTCCCCCCCCCCCCCCCGCTTATTCAGCGGCTGGCTGAGTCGAGTACGAAATTATCGGCCCGATTTGAAAATGTTAAAACCCCCCCCCCCCCCCCCTTGAAAAAATCCTGTGTACGCGCCTGGTCCATACAGTTGATTTAAAATAGCAATTTGAAGATGTATACAGGCAACGATGAATAAAGCTTCTTAAACTTATGTTGGAAAATACTATAAAAGACAAATATTCATGATGATTAGTGCTATTTGATTTATATTTTCTCTTAAATCTGAAGGCAAAAGAGAAGTCTTAGTGTCTGGACACCAAATCATACATATTTTCAGATATTACCTCGGAATAGAATTATCTAGATAGACGGCGCTATAGAAATGCCTATTATTATTATTATTATTACCTGTAGGCTGTATTGTTTTACACGATACAATGCACTATTTATTTTCTTTGTTTAAAGGAAGAATTGTAGACAGTAGCTTGAATTTTTTTTTAGTCGGAGTAATGTGGTATACTGATGAAGGCTCTTGACTCTCATACAAGAAGTTCTGGATTCGATCCTTCCTTAGCGCTTACATCCTTAATGAGACAAGGTGTTAATTCTCCCAACATTATGCCACTCTATATCCAGGTGTACAGGTAGCTGGCAAGAAGAACGATTAGACCACCTCGCTTCATGTATACAAGGTGAAGGCTCGTCAGAATATTGGTAACTTAAATATTCTTTTGGGGAGGGGGGGGGGGCTTAAAGCGTATGACGTTACTCTCTTCTTATTCTTTTTTTTCATAGAATTTTTTTTTTTAACCATTCTTAGAACGCCATTACCAAGAAGTACAACTCCCTAGCTGAGAGATGGAGAAGGGACACAAAGTACGTCGTTGGTTTGTTCTACTGTGTGCTCACCTGAGCATGGTCATCTTCGCAGGAACCTACCGTTCTCTTGGAGTATTGCTAGTGGAATGGAAGGAGTATTTCAACACTTCCTCGACCGAAATCAGTGCGATCATTACCGTGTTAGCAGCATCAGGACTTCTCTCTGGTGAGAACATTTGACATCTTTCACTTTCAGTATGGTCAGGGCAATACCAAAATACAGGATGCTCCAACATCTATTGTTTTTGGAACATCCAGTTCAGTGTCCAAGAATTTTACCCCCTATTAATGGTTTTTTGACAACTCTGATGCCAGCGAATTATGACATACTACACTTAGAATCTGCGGACCATAATGTCTTTAAGATTATAGGGTCAGGGTTAGGTATAGCGTTGGGTCCAGGATTGAAGTTAGGAATTCTGTTGAAATTGTATTAAGCATTATAAGAACAACATTACCAAGAAGTGCAACTCCCTTACTGAGAGATGGAGAAGACAGCACAAAGCAAAGTAGGAAATTAACCCGGAGCATTAATATTGTTGTTGCAGAAAAAAATGACGTACAACTAAACATTGCAGAATTACTGCGGATTTAAGTCGAAATGCCTTGCTAAAGAACATAAAATGGTTACAAGACTCTCAATAAATCCACTCAAGGACATTGTCAATATCCTATTGACTAGAAATCATGTTTACATTAGATAATACCCAACTGTTATGTTTGTCGCTTCAACAGATGACACATAAGGACTATGTCAGTGATTTTTCTTTGAAAATCTTTGCGAGTGTCTTTACTTTGAATTGCGGCAGAGAGAAGTCTACAACTGATGCATTTCTTTTATAATTTATTTTATTTCATTTCACATTTCTTATTTCATTTCATTCCTATTTTATTTTATCTCTTATTCTATTTTAAATTCTATTTCATATCATTATTTCATTTCATTTCTTAAATCTTTCCATTTTTTATTTCATTTCATTCCATATTAAAGTTTTATCTCTTATTTCATATTTTAGTCTTTTCCATTTCATTTCTTATTTAATTTCATTCTTTATTTCATTTCCACTTCATTTTCTTATTTCATCTCATTTCATTTCATTTCTTATTTCATTTCATTTCATTCCTTATTACATTCCATTTTCTAATTTCATTCATTAGAAGTAATTTGGAATTTGCATTGGTCTGGGGACCGACCTTTAACGTCACCTTTTGAAAGACGTGACTAAGTTTCGACCCCTGGTCTGTCAGAGTCAGAGAGCTGACTATACCGCTAGACCGAATCACATCTTATGTGTAACATAATTTTGTAACCTTGTTACAAGGTTCTTCAGAAGTATGTACCCATATTCCTCTAATGAAGGTTTGTTCCTTTTCATTGTAAGATAATTATATCACTTTACTTCCCCCTACAGGGATTCCATCTGGCATTGTGATTACCAGGTATGGGTGTCATTACGGCAGTCTTCTCGGAGCCATTGCCTTCGTCAGCGGAACAGTCGCAAGTGTTTTTGCCCCCAATCCTCTTGTTCTCTGCTTCACGATGGGTTTCATAACAGGTTGTTAATGCTTAAGCTCCCATCATTATGACATTAATGCTGGATGCAAACAAGGCCTTATTTCAATTGTGCTAATTAATCAAAGACACTCAAACATGTGAATACTCAGGACATGCCTGAGCACATGTGCAAGGTTTCAGGTTTGTCCAAAAACCATTGTCGATGTAACACCTGGGTAGCAAATTAATCAAATGCCCGTTGCGCCCAAGGCATCATTTTGACCGGTTGATTACCTAGATAGTCGAGCCTTTGCAAGGAAATTTGTGCAAGCGCCAGTTAATTAATATTTGTGCAGTGTCCATTGGCTTTCAACTTTTAAACTATGTCGCTCTAACATTAAGGTCTCTGAAGAATTTTTCTATCTCAGAAACTACTTTTTTAAATGAAAATACGAGAAGGGGAAGTAATTTCTCAAAAAAGAAAACATTTAGAAGAAGAATGTTTCCTCTTTCGCTGCAGTGTACGCTTCAGATGTACATACAAAGCATTTTGTGTGTCTATAAGTTGTGTTGTTTTACAACCATTAAGGAACTGCATGATTGGAAGAGGAAATGGCCATCATCTTTTTTACCCGACTTAGTCATAGGAATACTGTCCATGTATACTTTGTTTATAATTTGATACTGAAACAATAAGTTGTTCTCAAACCGGGAACTGAAAATCAAAACGTTCAGTCATTTGATATTCATTAATAATGAAATCACAAATCTAATTTAATAAGCGTGTGCCACTATATGTGCTTGCTTGTGTGTGGGGTGTATGTGTGTGAACTTTTGCACATAAATCTGTGCACTAACAAATAATTTGTGTTCTTCATCATTTTATCCTCCTTTCCTAAGGTCTGGGCATCGGATCGGTGAGAAATTCTGCTATAGTGGCCATAGCACAAGTTTTCAAAAAGGGCTATTCGCGAGCGAATGGTATAGCATTGGCTGGTGGGAGCATTGGTATGATGGTAGTTCCTCCCCTTCTCCAGCTTTGCATAGACCAATACGGATGGCGAGGAGCACTCCTCATTTTAGTCGGCATTCAACTGCACCTTTTCCTTGCTGCCCTTATATTCCGACCACCACAGAGGGGAAATATGCCAGAAGAAACTCAAACTATGCCAAAGCCGGTTGTCCGTGGCAGCAAGAATGAAAGCAAAGAACACGAACTAGAGCCCCTGAGAGGTGTACATGGTGATGATAGCAAAAGCACTTTTTCAGACGTGACTGTCAATCATTCATCAGCTAAAGATATATCTCAATTGGTGAATGAGAAAAAGAATGTGACACAGTTGAACTCTGGTGATGATATGACAGCTCATAGTCATGTTGATACGGAACTTGATGAATCCACTGACCATGACGAAATTCAGAAGGCCGCAGTAGATGATCATGAGAGAGACACTGAACACGGTTGTCTAGATGCCTCACAAACGCCAACGATTCTAAACGCAGAAAGTGAAGACGTCACAAAAAATATTACCAAAGAGAGCGATATAATTGACAAAGATGAAACAGAAGTTGTGAAATTAAGACATGGTCCTTCTCATGAACACGGTGATGGTCCGTCCGCTACCTATGCTTCCACACGACGCCCGTCTCGTGTCCAGAGAGGTCTCAGTTCCTCAGGACTTAGTCTCTTTGGCAACAACATTGGATTCTGCTTACTCAATCTGTGTCAGATCACGATTGGTCTTTGCTACACAGGAATCTTAACCCACCTTGTTGCCAGTGCTGTGTATGACGGCATTGATCAGCAGTCCGCATCGTTTCTCTTGTCCGTCTTTGGTATCAGCAATTTAATTGTGCGGTTGGCTAGTGGTTGGGTGGTAGAACTACACTTTCTTTCTCCAGAACATCTCTATGTCCTGGCTGTGGTTGCCTTTGGAGTGACCATGATCGTGAGCAGAGCTTGGAGTTCATATGGATGGTAAGTATACTGGTGCCTTCTAGCAGTAATATGTTTGTACTAAAACTTTCTTGTTTTTTTTCACCATAGGGCAACTAAGCTGATAAAGGGGGTATAGGAAAGCACAACGCCGTTACTTTTTGAATCCCACCATAAAAATTAATGATTGGGTTAATAGTTTGATATTGGGCTTCCAAACCATCATTTAATTCAAAATAAATCAGATATTTCTGTCATATGAGATCTAGTTTATGTTAAGTATATATCTAACTGCTCAGAAGAGATCAACCAACTTGTCTTTGTAATATTCTAGACACAGTTAGTCCTAGTTTTCTAAATGATTCAGGTGACTACTTCTCATCAAACAAATAATACAACCTTAATTCTCTCGACCCTCCCAACAACAAACGAGCCTGGTTGTAAGGAGAAACATTTCAATGTCATTAAAACTTATAATTATGTTTTACTTTCTCTCTAAACACGATTCTTACAAAATCATACACCTTTATTTTCTTCTCTTTCCACTAGGTATGTTTTCGTCGCCGCATTATTTGGACTTTCATCAGGGCTTTTCAAAACACTGAACCCTGTTGTTCTAAAAAGATACGTCGGAATGAAATACTTTGCCAGAGCTATAGGGGTCTTTTATGCTTTCACCGGTGCTGGTGACTTAATTGGTCCTGTTTTTGCAGGTAGGACAATGCAAAAGTGATGCTGATGTAAAGTAATGGAATTTAAGTTTAAAGATACTTTGTCCCTTTTGTAGCCAACATCAAATTCTGTAGAGCTTTGCGGGAATATTATGAATATGTCATGTATGTCCTATCTGTGAAATGGAAACATTAGCAGTGTCCTAGTTTTCAAATTATGCAAGGAAACCCGTTTACCCTCTAGACTTCACTGTCAGACACTATTGAGCGACTGACTGACTGACATCTTTTTTTCTTTGGTAATAACATACATAAAATGAGCTGTAACAGGTACATGACCAATTGTCTACAACAATAACCCACATATAGTGTGAAACCTCTGCACCAGCAAGGAGACCTTAAAGTATTGACAACTCCATATGATTCTACAAACCTGTGCCTACCTCGCAATGTTTGGAGTTGCGAATATTAAGCGGTAAAATGGAAAACGGGAAGTGCTCCCACAATTGATACTAATGACTCGTCTGCTGAGAGCCAGAAGGGCATTGACTAAAAATGTTCAAACAGAGTTAGTGCCCTTTTGGCTTTGAACAGACTGCCTGTCTTGGTGATGACATAAAGATAGATATTTTTGTATAGCCATAAACATAAACATAAACATATGATAAAAGACAAAATATTGAATTTGTTTCCCTCTCCAGGTGCGCTATATGATGCAAGCAACTCGTACGACCTACCTTTCTATGTGGGTGGATCAATTCTCATTGTATCCTCTGGTCTCTTACTCCTGGAACCACCTCTTACACGACTCAAGGAGAGACGGCAAGCAAGGTCAAAGATGGATTCGGATGAGGCTGCAGTTTAACAAACAAAGATGTACAAACTTATATCATTGGAGGGCCCTCAGGGAGAACAGTATTACTCCTGGCTTCCCATTTTAATAATGCTAATGCATTTGTATACAAATTTCTTTATTCCATTGTGTTTTAATTTCTCCCCTCTAAATTATGTCTTTCTCTACTGCTACGGTTTTTACATCTACAATGTATATTTTACCAGGAACCTATAATATACAAGCACTGCTTTTCAATAGAATTCCTCGCATTCTAATTAAATTATCAGTATTATTCTAAGCTCATTTTTTCGTTCCGTTCCGTGCATATGAGGTTTCAGACTACAATTCTATTCATTTTATTTTGAAAGTTAGAAATTATTGTCAAGCATTTTATGTTATTACATAACTTTTCTTCCCAATAATGATCAAATCAAATGTTTCTAATGTAGGCCTCATTTTTATTGATTTGAAAGGTTTTATTTTTATGGGATGAATGTTAAAATATTGTAATGGCAAAATAATGTAATGAAAGTAATGATGGATATAATGGTAATTGTTCAAATTATAATAATTTTATCCAGATATACCATATGTATATCATCTCATATTGTGAATTCTTATTCTGTTCTTTACTCTTTATTTTCCAGGATGCAGCCTGTGGGGGGGACATGCTTTTGAGGAATAGAAATTTCAATTGCTTTTGTCACCCCTGACCAGCAGATTGTATCCTTCTCTCTCTCCTCTCCACTTTCCTAAAACTGTTTGCATGTATTATGAAATTTCAATGTATAATCTGATTGTTATACTCATTGTATGATTTCCGATTGGTCAAATAAATATTACTGCTGCTAATAATAATAATATGAATTGAGTATCACTGAGACATGCTCATACTATACTACATGTATATACACAGTATATCTATATATATCATTTCTATTTCATATGTCTGCCTATATTTTTTTGTAAAATGTGGAACATATCTTATTAAAAGATCTACTGATAAGGCTACCCTATATAACAGGGTATGCATCCCCTATAATGTTAGGTGGGGAATAGCTAGCTATAAGAATCTCTATTCATGTATCACTACAAGAAATACTAAACTATGGCACTTGACATATCTATTTTATTTATGTGAAACCTTCAGCCCAGAAGAGCACCAACTTATTTTTGCAAGTTTTATTGTAAAATCCGGTACATGTGTCATATATTTCTATAGAGTACACAGGGTGCATATACTATATTTCACAGTTTACTTTCACTCTTTATATAAGGAAGCAATATTAAAGATAAACTCCAGTTCTGGTAATGCGATTGCATTGTGAAAGAAAAGGTGTGAAATGGATCAGAAACAGTTGATCATGTAGCATGTAAGTATTGGTGTGCACTACAAGGTTCTGTAGTCATCAAAATCATAATAAATTTGGCCGAGTCTAGGCTTGGTAAAGTAACAAGCACTGTACACAGAAAGCTATTAATGGGACAACACACATGGTGTCAGGGGGGGGGGGGCTTGTACTACCTTGATTTCCTTGTCTTTCTATGCTCATTACTCAGCCAGTATACATTTTCTTCAAAAATTGTTTGGCACGTGTCATTTATTTGTAATCTTGAACATTCAGTGTAAGTTTCATTTGATTCTGTGAGAATTAATTTTCTTTTTTTTTTACCAGAACTAGAGTTTATGTTGTATTTCACCATGTTGTATTTCACCTTGGAATTCCTCTAACATCTCAGGTCCATTGATTTTTCAGTGGATTAGATTGTGTCACTTTGGGCGTACATATACAGTATGTTATATTTTGGTAATTTGAATATTACGAATATATTGTCATAATGGCATGGTAATATTATAACTTGCAAACCTGAATGTTTTCTAAATGATTCAAATGCGCATTTTGAAATAAAATTAGACATGGTATACCATCTCAAACACAAGTCGTGTATGATATAGATTGATCCTTGACTTACATAAAATTAAATGCGTGTCCCTGCCCATCTCTCTTTCTATCTTCAGCTTTCTCTTTCTCAATCTTCATATCATTCTTGCTTTCTTCTCTGTCTTTCTCTCTTCCACCTCTCTTTCAAGCATTTTTTTTTTTTTTTTTTTTTTTTGGGGGGGGGGGGGGGGGGGAGGTTAATGCTGTAGCCTGCTTCTCAATCCAAACGCCCTTTCCACACATTTTTAAATGCTTGTGTATTAGAATATGTTTACTGTTGTTTTGCTACTTGTCAACCCAGTGCAGCCTTTAGTGCTTCTTAGATACGATATTGATTTTAAAGTGACTCAGTATTGTTGAAGGTTGATGAAAAAATTGCGTAATTTTGGTATGAAATGTTACTTATTATATTCCTTCTACTATACTAACCCTCTTACAGGCAAAAGATCCCGGAAAAATTCTCAAACCACAAAGATATTTACAGTTTTCTTTGAAGGTGTCAATGTACGACACCCTCTAACAGTGATTAACAGTAAATTCTCCCAGCCATTTTTGAATTTTCTCAACCGTTTTTCCATGAAAATAAGCCTAAGACAGGCTTTTAAAAATCTGTAAACACTCAAATGTCTGAAATGGTATTTAGAGCCAATTCATTGCTTTGAGGGGATTTCAATTCACCTCAAATGTAATTAAATTGTAATAATGTATAGTTGGGAGAATTAAGGAATTGATCAGATAAGATCAGATCAATTATTCCCAGTTTGTATCGTTAATAATGGTCCGTGTTCACTCAAACTTTCAGATTATCTTTCATTGTACATCTAGCATTGAAGTCACTACCTTAGCACCATTTCCTCTCAACTGAACAATGTTACAAAGTACCTTTAAAGTTGATATTTATTTACTTCCTACATTAAACTTATCACATGTACTATTAATCACTTTCAGTAAAAAAATAAAAGTGGTTTAATCAAGCATAAGTAAGCTCAGGGGCGTACGCAGGATTTTTTCAAGGGGGGGTTTTAAAATCGGGCCCAAAATTTCGCAACGAATCAGCTTTATTATTTTGCTCCCGAAAATTTTGAAAATCGCGTCGGCCGAAAAGTCACTCAGTGGGGGGGGGGTAAGCGGACACTTTTTTTTTTTTTTTTTAATAATTAAAAAAAATAAATAAATAAATAAATCAAAGGGGAGGGGGTTTACACACATAAAAATACCTAAGGGGGGGGGGGGGGGGGTGGGGGTTCAACCCCCAACCCCCCCCCCCCCCTGTGTACACGCCCGAGTAAGCTGCAAACTACTCTGTTTGGGGAGGGGGAGAGCTGCCACGTGTCACTAGTAAAAAAAAAAAATTAAAAGTACATTTCAAAATGATTTGGCTACTCATAACAGTCTTGGCTGGTTACTTTTTGCAGCACATCCCCAAAGAGTTTGATAAAACTATCATGGAATGTCAATATATATATATAGATATAGACATATCCTGTTTGTGTTCATATTCACCCTAAAAGAAGGAAAGTCCTCAATGTCTAATTGAGGATTACATAATATCATTGTACAGGAAATTTAGTTAGTTTTGAGTAATGTCAGGAAAAATTATTATTTCACTCTGATATAAAAAAAATAAAAAGGACTTTGCTCAAGGTGCATTGTTACAGACATCAGCCGTAATGGACCTTCATTTCTGTGTATTACCTGCTATTCTTAGAAACCTGGCATTGCTGATTTTATTTTAGGTTGCCCATTTGTTCAAGCTCTTTTCACAAGCAATCTTTCATGTTAATATTGTTTTTTTCTAGATGATCCTTTCTGTATAATTATGTGACCAACAAATTGCATTTGCCTTTCTTATTGTGTTGATGAGTGATTGTTTTACTCTTGATTTTCTAAACACTTCTTCATTTGTTATCTTGTCACTCCATGATATATTCATAATCTGATATGAGATAGACCGTTTGCTCTCACCATTATGATCTTTAGATCTTTAGATAATATTTTTTTCCTACAATATTGAACCATCAAAAAATGTAGATTCTGTAGATGTGTGACCATGATTTGTACGTTCCTTGAGAGTCTAATGCCAGTAAATGGTGAGAGCAGCTAGTGGCATGAACAGCCTGCCATATTTAAGTCCAACTTAAAGTCGATCTTAGTCTTTATGAAACACTCCCCAGGTCTCTGTAGCCTCCAATCTTTTTCTAAGCTCTATGTTTATTGTCCAGCACTCACACTCATATAGGACTGACCAGATTGATATATGACTTTAAGACTCAGATGTTGGTTTTTATAGTAATGTTCTCAATTTTCATTACAGATTTCATCTTATTAAATGTATCCCTTGCCATTCAAACTCTTATCTCTTTCTCATGAATACTTTTCCCATCTGATGCTATAGTGTACCCGAAATACAAAGTGCATGTTTGCTTTATTCATGTTTCCCCTTTATTTTGAGATTGCATGGGTGTGTCTCAGTCTCTTTTGATAATGTCATACACTCTTTGTTATCTTTGGTTAAAATCCAAGCCTTAAGTCAATTATATAGTATACATGTATACATTGTATACAAGTATCTTATCAAGTTAGCACGAACAAACAAAATGGAAGACGAGTTTAACAAATAATATTCTGATAATGGCACTTCTTGACTTGTAAAGTCTCTGATTGAATAATACATGTACATCCAAAATTATTTTGAGTCACGATTAAAGTATTGTCAAACCAGCAAATAACTTGAAATAAAGAAATACAAATATATAGAGACTTCCTATATATTCAAAAGACCCCCCCCCCCCCCCCCCGATTTGCTCGCCTTCAAATCATACTTTGCTCCAAGATGATAAAAGGTTGTCCTATGGATATAGTAGAGTACCGTAATTAACGGTGTATTAACTGCACTTTTTTGCCGCCGAAAAAAATCAAAGTCGGGGGTGCGTCTTATACACGGTACACCAACAACAACAAAAAGTTTTGATTTATGCCCCTCCATCTGGCGCTATGCCTGGCAACGTATCCCAGCTCAGTAATTGGTGTGTTGACTCATCACTCGGAAACTAGAACAACACTCAAATTTGTTTGTCATCTTGGTTTGAAAGTAATCTTTCTGATAGATCTCAATATGTAGTTTATAATAATAATTCCTCCAAATTTTCTTCTATTACACGGCGTACCACAAGGTTCTATCCTAGGTCCTCTACTGTTTTTTAATTTACATTGTTGGATCATTAATCTCATAGCATCTTGGTTTTAAGTTGTCATTTAACTTTTACTGTAAAGGCTCGACGAGAGATTTCACACATGACTAGAGGATATCAGAAGAACTCACTATTTAGTGTCTTTGGTTCTCAATTTCTCATGATATTGCAGGACAGTCCTGCAATAATCAGTATACATGATATAAATCACTTAAAGAGAAGGTTGAGTTCTGGGAAGAGGTGAAAAATAATTTGTGAGAGTTATCATTCTTATTATGCAAGTGTGGAAGAACATCAGATAAGACAAGTTCCCTGAAAAGCATGGCTCTTCAAATGCCTTCATATTCTAAATATGTCATGTAACATCGTAAAAATCCAGGGTAGGATTTTTACGCCACGTGTTCGTGTAGTCCCATATACATCTTTCTGTGTACAGTGTTTGTAACTTTACCAAGACTTGGCCAAATTTCCAGAACTCAACTTCATCTTTAAAGTGCACCATATATCTAGTTGCCTTTTCATCATATGTGCACAAATTGTATTGTCCCAGCTCCTGCCTCAGTGCCCTTATAGGGGGCATTATACTTGTCCTACCTACCAACATTCATTTAAATATACCTGATCCAGGCAAGTAATTTATGTCTTACCGAAGGACATTCTTGCTGTGGTCTGGACATGAACCCAACACCTCTACGTCATCCAATCACTCTAACAAAAGTTTCTTTAGTCCTCATAGGACACTAGACTAAGGAAGTCTATGTCTTGCTGCAGGACATCAGAGTCACGGCAGAGACTTGAACCTCGTAACTGGAGTTTGGAGACTTATCCACTAGACCTCATCACCTCTACGTGATCCAATCTCTCTAACAAAAGTTTCTTTAGTTCTCATAGGACACAAGTGTAAGTCTATGTCTTGCTGCAGGACATCAGAGCTGGGGCAGGGATTTGAACCTCGTAACTGGAGTTTGAAGACTTATTCACTAGACCATGACACCTCCACATCATCCGTTCTGTGTGATGAGGGATTCTTATCTCCTCATAGGGTACCAATGAACTTGCTTCTCTTGACCCATAAAGAAACCTGGTTGGGTGTAGTAGCTGAACTTTCGGGAGTAGATGGGGACCGGGGCATTGTATTCATGGCATGATGTCAAGAGGTGGATGGGGGCGCAATTTATGGAATCAAAGGAAACTTGACAAGACTTGGCAGCCACATTCCTCACATTCAAGAGGATTTATAATCTTCAATTTTTGGGGAAATCAGATGGTGTCATGTTTTCTCCACAAGAACTCTTCCGTCTTTTCCCGTCTTAGATTCTCATGATAAATACAGAAAGGTCTTGCAAGGCACATCCCGGTATTCATCCAATCTCTGTGATGAGGGATTCTTGAGTCCTCATAGGATACCAATGTATCTGCCTCTCTTGACCCAGGAAGAAGCCTGGATGGGCGTGGCAGCTGAACTCTTGGGAGTAGATGCGACCGGGGCATGGTACCGTTTTTTCTGTCTTAGATTCTCATGATAAATACAGAAAGGTCTTGCAATGCACATCCCGGTATTCATCCAATCTCTGTGATGAGGGTTTCTTGAGTCCTCATAGGATACCAATGAATCTGCCTCTCTTGACCCAGGAAGAAGCCAGGTTGGGCGTGGCAGCTGAACTCTTGGGAGTAGATGGCTACTGGAGCGTTGTCCTTGTAGCGTGCCGAAGGACAGGGTATGGTGTGGAGAAGGTCACCCGACTTCAGGCTCCATACCCGGGTGTATTTGTCTTGACCAACTGTAGGAAAAGAAAGGAAATTCTGTTAGTACATCACATGATGTTGTGACAATTGATCCATGGTACTTTCCTACACTAACTAGACTCCTAACTTCAGCCTTGGACTTCAACACTACACCTATCCTAACCCTGATCTAAAACTCTATTGCTACCCTAAAATGTTTATGAAATAAAGCCCAGGGCAATTGCCATCTTGGCAAATGTCAGATCACTGAAAGTTTGTATGCATGAAAACCAGGAGGAATAAATGTGAGACAGAGTAAAACGGTAGACAGTTTATGCCAATGTATCTAAAGATGTTTTTGTATTGAAAAGCTTGACAGCCCAATTAAAAGTGTTTCCCATATAAACCAATAGTTTACTAGCTACCAAGTTATTTAGTTAAAAACTAAGGCAGCTTCTGAGATAAACAAAAAATGTGACATGGAGTAGTGGCCAAATCACTGTTGGACATCTCAAGAAAAAAATTTGCTTTGTCTCCAGTATCACATAAAAAACACATGATTTACAGGAAAGTCTTTAGAAGAGATCGAACATACATCAAACACTGAGCCATTTCTAGTCCTTGACTCGGTCCAGACATGATCCTTACCTGCATGCAAGATGGTTTCTGTGGAGTCGACCTTGACCGGGAGATGATGGTTCTCATTGTGGTGACCTTTGAACTCTTGAACAACAGCACACTGCCTGATGTCCCACAGTTTAATCTATGTCAATTTCAGAGGACAGGCTCAGCAAGGAATGAAGAACAATCAAAACACATTCCAACTTTTAGATATCAAACCGATGTTTAATATCATGAGTATATAAAAAAAAATCTCACAGTAAAAATACTGTAAAGGCACAAGCAGGTATTAATGGTAGTATATTCTGTGCATTTTCCTAATTTTGTGTCTTAATTGAGTTGATATAATTATTGTTGCATGAAACCCAAATCTTGATCGCTCACAAATTCACAAAAGCTTTTACAAACGTGAAAGTTTCTGGTTTTACAGGACTAACACCAAAAAAAAATCAATCCACAAAGAACTGCACTTAACCCTAAAAATCCTTACATCTAGTACAATTTACCATTCATATTAGGGGCGCATAATGCCTAAAGATTGTGGATCTATATATATTTTGTTTGCATTTTTTTGCGCTTCCTTCATGTGTCACCTAGGAAATGTGTACCCTTCCTCCCCCCCCCCCCATAGGCGACTGTATCAGTGAGAAAAGTGGCACTGCTTTCCAACAATAAGCTGCTCAAACCTTGGTGCACATGGAGTGATTGAAAGACGAAGGCATTGATACAAATGTACAGACAATCTACTCCTAAAATCTACAGTAATGACACCTGTAACTTAAAAAAATGAGGCTTGTTTTTAGGTCTATAACTATCTAATATGGGGATTATTTTCAGTTTAAAAAAAATAAAAACTAAGGACTTTCGGAGAAGCCCTAGGCCCCATCTTATAAAGAGTTGATATTAATCGCAACTTATTTGCGATTGATATCACTCACAACTATGTACATAAGAGATAGGAGATTGGTGGACTTGCGATTAATTTGGATCAATCTTTGCTCTTTATAAGACGGGGCCCTGATCTACATCCAGTTCTTACCTCTCCACCCATGTCACTGGCCAGTACATAGTTCTCCTCCTTGAGTAGTTTGAGACTGCATACGGCCACACGATGGCTGAGCACCGCCGTCATGTCAAAGTGGCCTGAAGATGGTTTCCTAAGATCAACCCCAAGGATCTCACCTAGACGGGTTCCATTGTACAGAACAGGACTCTATCAAATAAAAGGGAAGTGTAATCGTAACAATCAGGGATACCAGTTGCCTGAAAATGTTGGATCCCCAAATAAAATATTCTGTCTGGAAAAAAAGACTGAAAAGGCCTGAAACAGGGCCCTGAAATTTGGCAAAAGCCTGAAAAACTGAAATCCCTGGGGAGTGTTTCACAAAGATCCTAAGTAGAACTTAACACTAAGTTGGACTTAAAAAGTATGGACAGCCATTGGAGCCTTAAAATGAAATATATTCAAAAGCAAAAATTGGAGTATTCTAGACTTTTCATCAATTCCACATCAAGAACATGAAATCTCCCATGATAATAGAAAATATGAATGATTTGAATCAACATTTTATGCCTTTTAAAAAAAAAATTACAAAATGTTTTCAAGGATGCTAATGGCTTCCCATAAATTTTAAGTCCAACTTAGAGATAAGTTCAACTTAGGATCTTTGTGAAACACCCCCATTGCTTTATAGCTAGTTGATTTTTTTATCACACTCTTATCTCGCTATACATTGTTTTACAAGCCTTTACAGCATTTAAGCGAAACAACTCAGCGATAGAGTTGGTGTCGGGTTGCTGTTTAGATTGGGAAAGTTTGAAGAGCTCAATTGTTTACTGACGGTACATGAAATTGTATATACCGGTATACTAGATCAAGTGGCTTGGCAACTATGAGGCAAAAAGGTACATTGACAAAACAATGTAAGTTCTCACAATACTGAATGCGATATATGAGATATTATTTTTAAAAAAACACGTAGGTTAGCACTCTTATCATATTTCATATCATGTTTAAAGATCTTTACCTTCCCCTTTCTCGACCCGTCTTTGAATTCTATAAAAACAGACTTCACCTAGTCTGAAAAGAGTAGATAAACTACTAAAGTTGGGGTAAGTCAAACACTTACAACACTGAAAGGGTTAAAGAGATATACCTTTCTTGAGAAAGCTTGAGCAAAGACATCACTGTTGGAGGTATACAGTATTTGTTCCCTCGTTGACAAGGTGTCCACTACTATTGCCTTTCCTGTGGAACCTGGAGAATAGATGAGATTCAATTCAATTCAAAGGAACATTTATTTTCTTCCAAACAATACAATTTATAAGTAGGAACATAAATATAATTAAAGAACTTGTATTACAAGGAAGAAGGCGCAAAAAGCATAGCTAGTAGTGGGTACGCCCGAATACATAAATACAATTATGAATTATAAATGGGAGAAAGGAAGAAAGGGATATGCGGTGGTCACATCCCGCCGTACTTGCAAGTGCGTGCTGTCTACGTGCAAAAACGTGGGCAAAATTTGGGTATCCGTACGTGATGAGTACCGCCTCCGTACGGATTTGGGAGCGCGCAGACACACCGTAGCACTTTTAGTGCACGAGGAACTTTCGCTGCGTTCGGGCTGCGTTCGGGCTACCGATTCACCCCAGTGCGTGTGACGTGCGTGCCCGGTACTGCCAACGAGCGCACAACGCACTGACTCCGTGCGTCTTTTAAAGGCGCACGTGATCAGTGCGTGGTCCGTGCTTACTCGCCACTTCCCCAGTTCAGCCATCCAATGAGCACGCAGAACTCACGTGGACCGTACCGAGTATTACTTACAACGCACGTTTTGTGCACTGATTTATGCAGTATATAGTCTCTTCGGTGGAATGGGCGGCATCTTGAGGCAGCACTGACAGCTGGGACTTCTGGAGAACATCGGAATGTCGTCCTATATATACAGCGAGTTCATCGCACGTGCACGCACTTACAACATGCGAGTGAGTAAGGACACCGTACGTGAGCAGCACTTGTAAGTACGGCCTCCGTACGATAACGTGGCAACCGGACGGAGACCGTACGTTGTAAGCACGTTGTAAGCACGTACAACGCACTTACCACGTGCGCAACGTACGATACACGCAACACTTCACGGACAGGCGTGGCGTGCGGGCCACGTACTTACACAGTGCGTGTGACGCGCGTTGCCGGTACTCCCTCCCTGCCTTTGCCACTCCCTCCCTACGTTTTCAGAAAAACGTGGCGGCCGTGGCCTCCCCAAAAACCGTACGGACTAAAAACACGCACGGTGGGATGTGACCAACGCTATAGGCAAAGAGGAGAGGAGGATAGAAAGCTTGGAGAAAGAGAAAAAAAGAGAGGAAAAGAAGAGGACATCCGTTTCGTTGAAGAGTCTTTTATTTAGGATCATAATTCATAAACCGATTTCAGTATTTGAGAGGATAGTCATGCTTTTTATTTGTCCAAATGTATTGGACACCATACAAAAAATGACCACAAAATGACAAAAATTAGGGCAACTGCCTACATTTTGAAAGGGGACATACATGTACAGGAGGCGAGTTGGCTCAGTCGGTAGAGCATCTGCCTGTTGAACCAAAGACCTTGGAATAAAATCCAACCTAGGTAAATGACTGAAACCTGCATTGTGTGATAACATGCCCCTCCTGTTTCAGAGATGCAGGCTATGTTAAGGGGAAAACACTCCATCCCTCGGATTGGAGGTTAAATGGAGGCCCTGTGTGGTCCACCTGCACAGCCCCAAGTAGTTATACCGGGAGGAGAGACCCAAGGGTTACAGTGTTTTAGTTCATTTTTCACCTGCAAGGTACAGGCGACGCCAATACTAAACAATAATAATAACATGTAAATACAACTGTATTTACCTATAGCTAGATGAGCGGGGAGGGTAGGACTATTGCTCCATGCACAGGTCCAGAGTGATTCATTGCTTCTTTCATAGCTGTAACTGATCTGGCTGATACCATCTATCAGGAAAGAATCGAAACAAACATAAGGACATTTCAATAATGGAAAATTAATTATAGCATCATGTTTTTGTACAGGTCCTGGCCATCACATGATAATTATCATACCATGTCAGACATTTTGATTAGTTACTTTTAGCCTTATCCCCATGCATTACAATAATATGATAAACACCAATTTTCAAAGTCCTAAATAAGTTGTTGTCAAAGGAATGTCTTCAAGCATGTCTTCATCATTTAATGTTGACAACTTCAATCCCTTGATGCATTGGGAAGAGCCAATGAAAGGTTTTGATCACAACTCTACATCAATGCAGGACACAACATTTTTGCATTTCCACTTATGATGAAACTTTGGTTTCATATTTTTTCTTCGACTCAAGATGGTAGCAAATACAATAACCTTACAACCTTTCCTATCTCTATCGTAGACCGATGATAACTTAGATTGCGAAAGAAACAAATGAACCGTACTGGACAAGTGTAACAAATTAACAAATCACATAAAATATCACAGATAACAGACCTCCTTCTGTTGGACACTTCATGAGTTGAACTGTACTTGATAATCCACCAGATATTGCATATCTGTATGAAACCTGAGTTAAGAAACTATTTCATATTATGGATTTCCATATTGACCAATTAATTAATTTCCTCAGGCTTTATCTGTCAACTTCATGGTAGCCTACATTGAGTTAGGGTACAGGCTGCAAATCAATTTTCTGATGGGGGGGGGGGGTTAACGTTAGGGCTGCAATTCAATATTTAAACAAAAAAGTTAGGGTAAAGGTTACATATAGTGTTTGGTCCTGGGTTGAAATTTGAAGGTTTTTTTTTTTTTACCTGACTGCTAAGAAAGCATGTGCTTGTAATTAAGCAACCAGGGGACCAACAGCTTTAATTCCTCTCTGAGGGACTTGTTATTGGATGAGGAGGGAGGGGAGGGGTAGAAAAATCCATGCGCAATACTCATTATTATGTTATTATATCTGTGTAGTTATTTTATTCATTTGGATGCCTGAATCACCAAGCTAACATAAGCTTCCTACAGGTGCTCCCTTTTCCTTCTACTCATTTTCAGTTTGTTTAAATTAACTTAACATAATGCTCATGATTTTTATATTTTAAACTGTCTGTACTTTATCACATGTATATATTTGTTCGCTTTTTAATGGAAATAAAGTCTTTTGAATTGAAAATTGAAACTGAATTGAATTGAATCTAATTGATTAATGACTTACCAAAGGGCACTTGCACATCGAACCCGGTACCTCCCAGTTACAAGAGCACTGGTCTACCACTGAGCCATCACACCTCAATCAGCCAATGCACATATGTTAAAGGATCCTACTAAAAATATATATTTACACATGTTCATGCATTTCAAAAGGATACAGTGCATACATGTTTTCTCCCTCTCTTACTTGAGCCCAGCTTGCATGAGCAACCTAAAGGAAGATGAAAACAGAATTTTAATACATGCATCATAGTCCAGTGAAAATTGACATATCAAGGAATATATACTTAAAGAAAAATGCAGGGAAACAGTTTGGAGGAAAGTGATGATGGAGTATATTAATCCTCAAAATATTAATTGTTCAATAATTCAAGTAATGATCCCTAATCTTGCTCCATGAACTATAAATGCAGAATGAAATATAAAACATGTTTCTAGCAGAAATGATGGCCGAGTAGACTGGTAGTCTCGTAACCAGGAGGTTTCAGTTTCAAAACCAAGTAGATCGGGTAGAGCCCTTGATAAAAGACGAGACTTAAAATCCCAAGGTCCCCATGGTTGCATTTCTTTCAAGAAAAATCTAAAAACATTTTTGCTCAAATCTTATAGTAATATACAAGAATAATTTGATAACAGTTGGTAATCATCTTAATTTTTCATTTAGGTCTTCATCATCTGCTCGATTAATTTAATATTTATTTGGTCTTATGATCTTACCTTCCCAAAATTAACATTATAACTTACTTTTTCCGGTCATGATTTGTCCTGCTTCTTCTTCTTCTTCCTCCTTCCCCCTTTTCCCCTTTCCTTCTTATCTGTTTTACTTCTCCTTGTTCGTTTCGTGTTTGTAAATTTTATGTTGTTTTGAAATATTGTCTTGTGTTTTCTAAGTCTTCGTAGGCAAAATTTGAAACATTTATATATATTTTTTTTTCTGGGGGATCCACAACCTACAAGCACTGCTTTTTAGTGGATTCCCCCCCCCCCCCCCCCCCCCCCCCCCCCCATTTCCTCAGAAATTAAGAAATTCTTGTAATAATTTTATTATGTGCAAAGTTTATTTGTATAGTTTCTTGAAAAAAATGAATCATGTATGAAATCAAATGTAATATCTTTGTTTCCCTTTCTGTTGGAAATGAAATAAATATGAATATAAATATGAATATGAATTACTGCTGAACTACAAGAATGTACTTGGACTAGTCAGGTTATGGTAAACCGTAAATCTGACCAGCTTATTCAAACCACCAAGCAAACCCTACCTTCAGAGAACATTTAACACTTTGCCAAGGGAACCGGGTTGTTCCTGTGCAAAGCCAATAGGAATGACAGAACTCTGTAATCAAAGGGTTAAGCATATATTCTTGTTCTATTAAATAATTGTTGTAATTGCTTATGTATGCATGTGAAACTCACCTTCCAGATCAGCTGAGTGGTCAAGATGTTGACCGTTGACCAGTTGGCAATGGTCACTTCTTCTTGACCGGTCTTCGGATTTCTCTCACAAACCACCTCACCCTGCCACAATCTTACAAATGATAACAAAATGAAATGTTTGTTAAAACACAAATGGCCGAGTATAACAAATAATTTCTTGGACACTATATCACTTTCACTAAAGCCAATGTAAATATAAATGGAATATTGTATGAGCACTCTCAAAAGTATTTTTGAGATATAAAGATTAGGGTGTTTTGTTACTTTGTTTGTCTGTTGTTGGTTGGTTGAACCATTTGTTTGTTTGAACATTTGTGTATGTTTAATAAGCCGCCTGTAAAGTTAGCTTTTGTAGGTAAACATTTTGATATCCAGCAGATACTCAGAAACATCATTCCTTCAATCCTTTCACTACTACCAGAAGTCTATATAAGATCATATTTTTCTTCTTTATTGATTCAGCCAAAGGCGCAGGTTCGAAACTGAGTCAAGTCTTTCGAATGGTGACGTTAAAGGTCGGTCCCCAGACGTAAATAATCATATCTGATTGATACACGTCCGTAAAAAACCCAATTAAACACACACACTTTATTAAAATATATCAAGAACCCTTGCCTCTAGTTCATTTACAAACCGAAGGCCGAAACTGTTCACACATTACAACATATTCTAAAAGTTTCAGATATGCATTAGGTAAATGTATATTTAACAAGACAAGATATGTCTTGAGAGCATAAAATTACATATACCTGCTTAAGTAGTCATCAGAAATAACCATGAGAACTTGCTTCTGCCTACTATCCAACTGCAAGAGTAATGATTTGTAATATTGTGAATAATAATTTTTTGTAGCACATTTGTTTACCATCACAGAATTATATTCCTATAATATTGTTCAGCTCCAGAAATGCAATTACGTACTCTTTATGAAATAATGCAATGTGCATTTTTAGGTTAATTTTTCCTCTATAACGCATAACTAAAGAAATCAAGTCTTGATTTTCTAGTATAATGTAGGGCTCCACACTAACTTTTTGCAGAGGGTGCAGATTGATATTGTGGACAGGTGTGAAATCGGCCCATTTGAATTGTCCAAATGTCCAAATATGTGGATTCTCGATTGAGTTCAGATTAAGGCTCCACTGTGCACTAGTCCCCTGTCATTTTTATAAGGACCAAAGCAACAAAAAAAAGTACCTCAAGGTTACTGATGTAGCCTGATGTACCATTAAAGTAGTGATCAGGGAAGGGAGAGACTCGGCTGCTTGGTTTTATCTCCATCTGTTTCACTGCACTCTCATGAGCCATTCTAAAAGATAAAAAACAATCAATATATGACTAATCTGAACATAAAATTGGTCATCATTTCAACTAGTGGTCTATCGCTCACAGGTGTTCTGACCGTCTGGCTCAAGTTTTCATTTCTTAATTAGGGCTGTGCATAGTAGCACCTCTTGAAAATAAAGCTAGCAGAAGCTCAAGTCAGAGAATTTAACACATTTCATGAACAGATGATTCTGATTAATTGAAATAAACAAATTCTTGATTCTTGGAGATGTTTTCAAGTGCAAGTCTCTATCGCTCATATGTGTTCATGTACAAAGTACTAAAAGTTATCTATGGTTGCGTTTTTAATGAATTCTGGCAATATTCTGACTTGCACGAGAGAAGTAATCCTCTATAAATTTTACAGAAAAGTAAGTGAGCCTGGGTAAAACAAAATCACTGCTGAACAAAATAGCAAATTCTAATTATCAGGAATTGTTTATTAGGATACATTACTGAATAAAATATAACATCATCACTCTGAAACACTTAAAAAAATTTGTTCATACCCACCTCTTGAAGTAAGAAGATCTACAGTTTCCTCGCATTCTGTTTTCCTGCAGTTGAACAAGCGAGTTCACCCTATTCCCAGGCAGTACCTATGATCACGTTGGGATGGAAAAAAGAAGAAGCTTAAAATTTCTCACGATTAACATGGATGGATGTTTTAGGTGCATCATTCTTTTTCTATCGATCAAAAAGCATATTACTATTGGTCAATCAAATTGCATATCAGAGTTATAAGGCTCAAGGGGAATTTTTATCTGCACTATAAAATAACAATAGTTCAAAGAGAACACTGATGCCTGAAGATATAAATCACAACTCTTTTATTTTTTACCAAAAAGGTTTATTGGTATTGGGCTTTACAACACATTCATTTAAAGTACCGGTAGGCAATCAATCAGGGGAGAGTGGACCAGTCACAAGTAATTATTGGGCCGAAACTAAATCCCAATTTCATCCCCTGTGCACAAGTCCTTATAATCACCTTTTCTGAGGAACCCTTCGTAGAATTTCTTTCTTCTAAATAACTTTGCCTCTTCTTCTCCGCCTCCTTCTGACGAATCGTCTCAGTAGTCACAACGTTGCCTCCACTGTGCCCTGGAAGGATGCGAAAATGTCTCTGCTTCTCTTCATCATAGTAGAAGCCAGGTATTTGTGTTGTTGGCAATTCTTGACATTAAGGAAAAATATGTGACTTTCTACTACACAGGAATTTAGTGGATTAGATTTTATTAAAAACATGAAAAAAATGTTACAGATCAGAAAATCTGTTTCTGATCTTATCTCCTATCATAAATTTGTCCCTCTTTGAAGTCTAGCTGACTCGTTTTATTCCATTTGATGACACTTCGAAAAACTTACTGTTCAATTTCAGAGGGATCAAATATGGTAAACATTTCACCAGGTTGGTTGGGGATGTTTTGTTCTTGATTTCACTATTTATAAATATGTGTCAAAACAAATATACAATGTAATATGATAACCCTCCCTGGAGGAAAAAAACCCCAGCTATACAGCTTACAATTGCAAATAAAGTGCACTTTATAACCCCCTCATTATCACAGATAAAGCACTGTTTAATTAATATACACTGTACAAAACTGCCTTCTCTTATTGAAACATTATTTTTCTACAGTGAATGTCTTGTGGGTTGTGAGCGGTCTTCAAGACATTTTAAACAATTACGGGATCAATTCTATGGATGGAAATTTGAAATGATCAGTACTATCTGACCCAAATGAACAAGTTCCTGTGAACTCAATCAGTTTCAATCAATAAAAGGATATCTAGCACTTTCTTTTTAGAATGCTGGTTATCTGCCTGACTGCTTCCTGCTTGTGTACTACTATCACTGGCACCAGAAGTCGAAGGTGTGTCAGCATTTCTTGACTGCAACGTCCTACAACTTCTCACACTTGGTGAGCTCTTTGAAGTTGGTCTCTCATATTGTTTATTTTGCTGCTTAGAACTCTGACCAGTTTGAAAGTTAGTTTGAAGAGAGGCTTCTCTTGATCTGTTTTTCCTTCTCCTCTTGGAATAAGAAGACAACTTGGAAGATGATGAGTCTCTTGATGATTGATCAGTGCTATGATTGCGAGTCAATGATCCTGCTTCTGAGGTTGTCGGAGAGTCTGCATGCTGCTGAGGATTCAGTTGAATCAGATCCTCATCTGCATTGCTGCAATTGTCTTTGCATCTGGCCGATTTCTTTTTCCTCCGTCTCCTTCTGCTTCCTCCTCCTTCTCCTGAAGACATATTTTCCCTTACCGAAAAGGCAGGCCTGCTTATAGCCTGCATCAAGCCTGCATAGCTGCTAAAAAGCAGGCTAATTCCTTAGCAAGCACTGACCTGCAAAAACGCCGAAATATGCAAATTAGGCAGGCTTAATTTAGCCTGTACATTTTAAAAGCAGGCTTATTTTAGCCTGCAAAATCATTTTAACCTGCTCAATTAGCCTGCAAAATTGCCCTGCTTTTTTAGTATGCAAAATTAACCTGCTTTGTTAGCCTGCAAAAACACTGAAATATGTAAGTTATGCAGGTTAATTTTAACATGCTAATCTAAAATGCAGGCTAACAAAAATGAAGATATTTGATTGCCATCATTAACAGTACAAGACTTCTATTGGTATATCGACTCGGATAGAGGAACGGGGGATAAATTGATATATCATAATCAATATTTGCAAGTGTCCTCCAATGGGAATATTCTAATCTCAATTGCATTAGACTAACTCCATCACAAAGATCATTTGAAGTTAATACAAGATTGACTTTTGTAAAAGTACAGGCTCATACACGTATATATAGAAAATATACATGCTATTTAAAATGGTTAGTAATCGTATAATCAATATATCTATTGCTAAAACATGAATGTAAGTGTGATCAGACAAATAATCTATTGGTCAATAATTGCCAAAGAAAAATACAATCACAAAATTGATATGTGCATTAATTGTCATAAGTTGCTTAACAATTAATCATGATAAATGTATTTTTCTGTGAGACGTGTAAAGTAATAATGAATATTCATGAGATACGTATTGCAGGTTAATTTTAGCATGCTAATCGAAAAGGCAGGCTAACATAAATGAAGGTTTCTATTGGTTTCTATTGGTCCCATTGGGTTCAATTAGTCTTATTGGTTTATATTGGTCCTATTGTTCCTATTGGTAGATCTATTGGTCTTATTGGTTTCAATTGGACCAATTGGCCCCATTTGACTCTAATCGGGATTTCAATTGGTTTCAATTGGACCAATTGGCCCCATTAGATATTTCAAATGGTTTCAATTGGACCAATTGGCCCCAATAAGACTTAAATGGGACTTCAATTGGACCAATCAGCCCCATAGACTGTAAAGTTTTCAATTGGTTTCAAATATATCTTTTCTTCATATAAGTTGCAATTTAATCCAATTATGATATCTAATAAACACAAGACTATATCAATGTTATAACTATGGCCTAAAACATTGCTCTCTCTTTAGGCTCCATCATATTTCTTCCTTTATTTAACTTAGTCTTATGTATTATTCTGTTCGTTTGTATAAATGCATCCCCCCAAAAAAATGATTACAAAAAATGTAACATGCCAAATGTAATGAAATAAACATGTGAAATATGAAAATAAACTGAAATTGAAACTGAATTGGACCAATTGAAGTCCAAAATAGGGCCAATTGGTCCAATTGAAACCAATTGAGTTCCCATTAAAGTCTAATGGGGCCTAGGCCAATTGGTCCAATAGGGCCAAACTTGACCAATTGAAACCAACTGAAGTCCTATTAAAGACCAATTGAAAAAATGAAAATTAAATTGGTGTTCAATTGGTTTCAATTGGATTTTTGTCTTGGGATGCCTCCCCAAGCGCTCGAAACCTCGCTTGCTCGGCTTTCTATGAACCTATTTTTGTTTAAACTCTCAAATCACCCCTGATATATAACATTAAACGTGCATGTGAAAAATAACCTGCAGGCTACATGTAAAAAGCAATAACAGGTTAAATTTGTGTTCTAAACCTGCTCAGAGGACATTTCTTCAGATTGCAGGTTTAACAAATTATGATAGAAATTTACATGCTAAAGATTAAACTGCATCTCATCTGGCATGCTAAAGATTTAACCTGCTAAAAATGTATTTTGCAAAACGCATGCTAATTTTAAACTGCAGGCTGAGATTTAGCCTGCTTAAACTGTAAGACTGTGTTTTGCAAAATGCATGCTGATAACAGGCTAAAATTTAACCTGCTAAAACATGTAAGACTGATTTTGCAAAATGCAGGCTAAAATTTAACCTGCTAAAACATGTAAGACTGATTTTGCAAAATACAGGCTAAAATTTAACATGCAAAAGAATAATTAGCATGTATTTAAGAATGCAGGCCAGACGCAGGTTCAAAGCAGGCTAAATAAGCCTGCATTTTCGGTAAGGGTTAAGACCTCAGCAATCCTTATGTCAAATAACAATAAATAAACACAAGGTTGATTCATTACTTTTATTAAAATTTAATGTTCATAGCATGACAGCATGTTGGACAACACATAATCATTGTAGATCTAGATTAATTTAATGTGCATCATTACTCAAAAGTCTCTGTTATGATTCTAAGATGGGGACTTATCTGACCCCTGTTGATATATTTCTTATTTTAACTTGACAAAATCGTGTTTGTAATATATTTTTATTGAGAAAAACAAGTGATAAACTGATACCTGACTTAGTTAATACACTTTTACTTTAGTTTTACCTAGGGCCTACTCGAAATAATGAGGAAAATAAGAACGAGTGAAAGATAGATCTATCATAGACCTCTAGATAGATCTAGACTGATAGCCGCTAGATAGATCTAGAAAATGAAAGAAAGGTAGAAAGAGTAAGAAAGAGAGAGAGAGAGAGAGAGAGAGAGAGAGAGAGAGAGAGAGAGAGAGAGAGAGAGAGAGAGAAAGAGAGAGAAATAGAGAACAGAAGGAAGAAAGAAAGAAAGAAAGGAGACGGGTTTCGACTCACGCGGCGTCACCTTGACATGTGGTGTTATCGCAGTACGTCGAACAGCTGAGCGCTCCGGCCCCCGGCGCGGCGGCCCAGACTTCACACGAATTTCCCCAACACCAGTTCTAGCAGATGGGACCTCCACAAAAACTATCACAATTTACTTGTCGTTCATAGCATGACAAGGCTGTAAATACCCAGGTTGGATTAAGAATATACGTTGGCTTCATCCAGAAATGTAATCACTTTCAAATTTGCCTAATGATGTTCTTGAAATGACAATATTCTTTCCATTTAACTTGACATTTCATAATGTCAGTGGACTATGGAACGCTAGCAGAGCAGACGACAATAATGAAAAGAAAATATCCGTACCGTACATATTATATTGATAATATAAAACACCATATTAATTACGATATGAAAACTACTCTCATATCCTTTAAATTTCTTTTTCTATTTTATTCGTCTTAAATACATTTGGAGATTGAAAGATTCAGGGTAGATTTTGTTTAAACCAAAACAAACAAGCGTAGATCTATAGACTACTTAAGATAGAAAAGATCAATTTTTCTTGCCATAATCACCTCGCTTAGTATTGATTAGTATTGACGAAATGGGTGATTCTCGTCCCTTCCCTCTTTCTGTGCCGTGAAAAACAAGTCTTCATCCTACCAAAAACTATGGCCATGGACCTACTAAGTAGGCCTATAGGTCCATGATTTAACATGCCGGTGTGGCTTTCTCTTTTTCTTTCCAATGTATATAATTAGAGTTAATCTTCTTTTATTTTATAGTAGGACAAAGTTTTGTAACAGATCAATTTTTGAGCAATTTTCATTTGCCATCAAACATTAGAAAATTCTAATGCTAAAGAAAAAAGCTGGCAAAGTGAAACTTTTTTCTTCCTTATCTGAGCCTCTAAATTCTAACTAAATACTAACTACAGTATAAAACATCGGTCCATGTCAAGTCAATGATAGGGGCACGAAAGCCCCATCTCTCAGTCATGTGGTGAAAGGAAAGAACTCGGGTCGAGCTAAGTAGGGATCGAGAGCAGCCAGGGAGGGGGTGCATGATCGATGCCTGATGGAGAGACGAAGGAGGGAACTTTGAGCTGAACTTGAAAAGAAGACGAAACCGACCATTACCCAATGCAGTGGCGGATCCAGGGGGGGCCCGGGGGGCCCGGCCCCCCCCCCTTGAGAAAAAAATCATGTAAAATCACGTGATTTTTACCTTTTTGGGGGGTTGGGCCCCCCCCCCCCTAAGAAATCCTGGATCTGCGCCTGACCCAATTAGTGACATGTACAGTACGACCGACTTTATACAAATTATCTTTAAAGCTTTTTGTAAATGTCAAAGCGTTTAATTGACTTTCCATTATTGTCGTAGGCCTATAATGATGTTTACCACCCGGTATTAAGAAAATTACAAAATGGAAGAAACAAAAGAAATAAATCTAGCTGGATAGGCCGATAGCAAAAATAGCAACCCTTCTGGTTATAGGCCTACATTTCACGATCCAGCATAAAAATGACCTGCATATAATGAAGAAGAAGAAAAAAACATGATTGAGGCACACAGGGGCATACGCAGGATTTTTTCAAGGGGTGGTTTTAAAATCGGGCCCAATATATTTCGCTCCCGAAAATTTGAAAATCGCGCCGGCCGAAAAGTCGCTCAGTCGGGGGGGGGGGGGGGGGGGACACTTTTTTTGTTTGGTCTCGAAATTTGAAAATTTGACATTTTTCTTCGTTTGGGGGGGGGGGTAAGGTCACCTTTTTTAGATTATATATTTTTTTTTTTTTTTTTTTTTTTTATATAATTAAAAAAAAAAAAAAAAAACAAAGGGGGGGTTTTAGGATTTTTTTAAGGGGGTTTTACACCCATAGAATAGCAAAGGGCGGGTTCAACCCCCAAAACACCCCTGCGTACGCCCCTGGAGGCACATCATGACTGCCCGCATTGCCCGATTATAAGAACTTTAAAAATCGTCGGGGCAGATATTAAACGGTTAAGTGCTGACTTTTGAATGTCAGGAATCGCTTTTCTATTTACTCATGTATCAAACTGAGCGCAGGGTTACAAACGTCCCAAGAAATATAATCAAGGAATTCAGCATTATATAGAAATCAAAGCAAAGAGATCTAAAAACGTTGATGCTGTGTATTAGTTTATAATTGGGTTGGGTTCTGCGAGGTGGGCATACATTTTTGTTTTCAAATTTACAATAGACAAATTTTTTCCCCTTCCTTTCCTTTCTCTTTCTTTCTTTTGATATTTTGCACCTCCTCTCTTTTGCTTTTTGTACACCTTTCAATTGCTACCCGGAGAACTTACCCCATTCTGCTACCATCCCCATATTTATACGACACTGTCTCTATAGATCCGCCAAAATCTGGCGAAATAGGAAACTTCCCATTAATAGATATCAAGTCATTTTATTTTGATAAGAAGAAAATAAATACAAAGATGTTAGAATGGAATGGTCCTTTGCCAGTTGACAAGAATATTTCCTCCTCGACTAATGAGAGTCAAGGTAACAAGGGAAATCATTCCATTTACAATATAGGCCTAAAATGTATTTCTCACTAATTTTTGCGAAACGATGTAAATTAAAGAAACGGCGAATATATTATTTTCATGTCGGGCCGTTGTATTGGTGCAATACAGGTGTTGCGAAATAATTATGATATTATGAAGGAGTACAAAAATTGAAGGACGCCATCTTTTATGCACGACCGTCTTACCCAAGAGTACTTTGCTCATAATGAATGCGTAGGGGAGCATGGATTGTCGTGATGAATGCCTATGAATACATATCCTGGAAATTTTCCGAATATTACTTTTTTATTTGAATTAATAAAGTGCAGTTTATTGCCATAGTGGAAGCTATGTGCCAGTGTTTTATAGAGATTTTCCAATGATGCGATATATTAAAGTCTTTTGGACCGCCGCTATTATAGGAAGTATAGCCATAACAAAAAATATCCGTCGTCCTTTTTTATTTTCACATTTGTATAATGTTTTATACACTGTTACTGTTAGTCATAAAGTTAGAATAATTAATTTCTTACATCTTTTCATGAAGTGAACAACTTTTATATCTTCTCGGAACTCGTAATGATCAATTTAGAGAATCATAGAGATTGATCAATAAAAGTTATATATCTATCAATAATATACATTGTCCAAGATGTAACAAAAATAATCTAAACTTTATGGGCAACAGTGTATTTATTTTGAATGTTTTGATTTTTTGCACAAAAATACAAACTAAACCGTGATTCCTAGTATTACAATATCATATATTGGATTTGTTTCATCTTAACCATGAGCATAGTGAAACTTTTGTATTTACTAAAAAGAGGATTGAAAAAGAACAAGCATCGTGATGATGCATCTCGCTATTTCTTATTTCTTTCCTTCTCACAGTCCGATCTTGACTGATTTCAGGAGAGTATATGGGGCCTGATCTTGATAAGATTACACGAAAAAATGTTGTCATCATAATCACATTATCTCTGTCATTCATGATTAATGATGATGAAGATGATGATATTGATAATGATAATGAGGAGGATGAGGATTATGAAGAATCCTACAAAAGTTTAATAGCGTCAGTATGAAAATAGACCGATTATACTCTGAGGCTGGAGGAGGGGCCGGGGCAGCATGTGCCATTGCCGATCCAGGATGTGCAAACAGTTGGGGCCCAACCCCTGTAAAAACCGATTTTTTTTTTTTTCATTAACGTTTAAGGAATCTAAATAATGAAAATGTACCCTTATGTGCCCTTGGCAGCACTCCTAAACGGAACTTGTAAAATCTTCAGAACTGTGCCCCCGTGCAAGACTACACTGGATTAAGGCAAGGGTAGAAAATGAATTTGGAAAACTAACTGAATAGAAGCAATTTGGTTCTATTTGGGATTGGGCCTATTCCTGTAGAGACGTAGGTCTAAATGCACTAAGGTGATTAGAGACAGAGGCGCATCGCTATTTCCATCATTCCATGTATTTATATATTTTATTAACTTCGCTGTCATTTATTTTGGTATTCACCGATATAAATCTTTTGAGTTGTTTTGTCTCGTTCTGTTCTCTTTGCTCTGTTCTTTATTATGTTCTTCATTTCTTTATTCTCATCTCTTTTTATGAGACTCCTACTTTCAGCCGCCAGCTCCAAATGAGTCGCTCCGTAATATTTACCGACACGCGAAAGACTCCAATCCATACCTTATTGATTTTACCGTTACCCTTGTTTGCCCCCCTTACAAAGCGGGTGACTGGAAAACCCACGGCCAGTCGAGTCTACCACACAGGTGTAACACAAACGCACTGTTTCGAAACTGTATGCAGACGACGATAACCGTTATTCGGATGCGGAGAGAGAGAGTGAGGAACGATCTTCACAAATTTTCGAGGAGACAACTACGGAGGATTTTCGATCATGGAGGAAGAATTGCGATGTACTGCTTGTAGAGGATTTTATACTAATCCAGTGATTTTACCATGTACCCATAATATATGTTTTCCATGCGTTTTATCGCTTCAACAAGTTAACGGAACGGCAGTTTTACCGGCATCTAACGATCAGCCTCAGCAGTCAACGAACTCCACCGGTACGCAGTACGATTTCTCGTTTGACTTCCCCGAGGCCGACCGGCTGAGCGCTTTCAGCGATGGGGACAGTGGGGTGAGTTTTGTTGGGGGGTATGCACCTAGTCAGGCCAGCGGTTCGAGCTCCAGCTCAGGTGCTTCCAGTGGGATTGGCAAGAATGGCTTCACAACAGCTAACCCAGAGACTCTGAGGATCAGCTGCCCGCAGTGCCATCGCACTATATTCTTGGATGAAAAAGGGGTCAACGGCTTCCCGAGAAACCGAGTATTGGAGTCCATCGTTTCTCGGTACGGCAAGGCACAGAATTTAATCGTAAATTGCCAGCTATGCGAACAAAATGCTGCTGTTGCTTCGGTTTATTGTGAACAGTGCGAGGTATTTTACTGCAGTGCGTGTCGAGTCAGTTGCCACCCAGCCCGTGGTCCTTTGGCCAAGCACAGTTTGGTAACCCCTGCCAAAGGAAGTCTGAAAGTGAAAACCGGAAAGTCCCCGCCAAAGATAGCAAAATGCCAAGAACATACGGAGGAGAACCTAAGCATGTACTGTGTAATGTGTAAGATGCCTGTCTGTTATGTCTGCCAGAACGAAGGAAAGCATCTAAAGCATGAGATGAAAGCACTTGGAGCAATGGCTAAAAGTCTAAAGGTATACCACTTTCTATTATTTTACAGAAATCCTGGAACATTCAATATTTGAAGAAAAAAAAATCTTATAAATTTCATATCATTAATACTGATAGGGTACCCATGAGTGAATTTAACATGTACATGAGTTTATGAGAAATGCTTTTCTGTTAGAGAAAAGTGGACCTGGCTTACAATGAATACGGTCTTGCATGAGCTACGCAGAGAGTGGTGTAGCTATGAAAGTGGACTAAGTGCCTACCGAAGTTCGTTCGATCGATCGATCAAGAGTGAGAGAGAGAGAGAGAGAGAGAAGATAAGTGGAATGAGAAAAAGAATGTGGATAGATGATTTAAAAAAATTCAAATCCTCTCCCCCTTCCACTTGTTTGCCTTGTTCTATTGTATTTGATCAAAGTATGGTTGGAGATAAACACCCCCCCCCCCCTCACAAAGATTGATTCTCTCCCTATCAGTCCCCCCGCCCCCCCCTTTTTTTTTAGAAGTGAAGAGATGATACTAGTAGTAATGATTAGCTCTCAACTCACAGGGTTCATTGTTTCTTTTTCTTAGAAGGGCATATAAAGAAAGGAATACAAATATGACACAACTGCATGTATTCCTGTTGGTCATATTTTAAAATGGACTTTTTTTTGGAGCCAAATTGAATACTGGACTTATTAAAAAGAAGCTTCATTCTTTTATTCTGCTGAATTGGGGCAGGAAGGGACAAGAAGGAAGGAGGATATTGCCTACACGTATGCCCCTCTCTCTGGATCTGCCATTGGCATTCCTTAGTGATTCAAATGGATCAATGAATATGAAGTTACAATATCTAGGTTGCACCTCTGTCTTATTGATTGTGATCTATTTATGTGCTGAAGTGATACATGTACAGTCATTACAGTGGCTTCTTTTTTATTGTGTCAAGTAGGTCTACATGTATTGTGATGCAGACAAGATCATCAACACATAATTACTCTAAAGAGAAGAATTGATTAAATACTAATTCAGTTGTATTGAAATGGACATTAGACCGTAATCCATGTCATGAGTAGACTAGCTGGCTGGAGAGACTGTAATAATGATCCTATGAACTAGATCAATATACTCCTGAAAAGTGCAATGCATGTAGCATGGCATCACCATTATTGGTTTTGGGTACGGTATACATTATATAGGCCTACTATATTGACTGTCGTGTGAGGAAATGACTTGTAGGTTGCAAACTATTGATTTATTCAAAGAAATGCATTGAATATCGATTTTTGAAACGAGAAGTGATATTACTTAGATAAACAAGGATGTACGTGTACCTGTAGGTCCTACACCATACTGTCCTAGTGCCTGAATTAATATTAAAAACTTATCATGGAGATACATGTATCATCTGTTTGGAGCCAAGGTAACACTATTTTTGTCAACAAACAGAGGGTGATTTTAACTACTCATGGACATTTGGACATCATCTAATGACATTGATTTTACTCTCTGAAACATTATGTTTAATTATTAATGAACACAATGCTTTAATATAAGTATGTAAATGATTGATGTTTAATCTCCCAAAGATGCATTAATTGCAGTAGGAACTAACTGTTGACCCTCTGTGTACTAGTAAAAACACTTAATCCCAGAAGCAGGCTGAGTCACTAATTCCTGGAGACCAATCACATTGGTATGCTCCCCACATAGATCTAAGAATTTGCCTTCAAGGGATAGTTTGTTTTCATGATAGGAAAATATGAGTAGACCAACGTGATAGGCATATTGTTATTATTCAAGGATGGAGTGATAAGTTCATAACTAAACACTGCGGTCCTAGGGTTCAATCACCTTTAAACTATTTCTTTTAATTGGGGGAGGGGGAGGGATATTTATGGTGTGTGTTATTATAACATTTCATTTTTTAAGTATGAAAGTTTGGTCCTACAGGATACTTGCAGTCGCTCATGATGATCATACCAATCCTGTAATCACGGTTTTAGTTATGTTTCATTGTTTCATTTTAATGCCATTTTGACCAATCGACCAATACATTGCACAATTCATCCACATATAAAGTAAAAGCCGTTAGATGCTTGCTCAATCTTCAATAGGGTGAGAGAGTCCTCTTTTTTTTAAAGGTTCAGCTCCCAAACTATAAATATGCAGGTGTACGGTGCAGGGTACAAGTTTATTGTTCATTGGAGCTCTCTAGGGATTTTCTAAGGCAGAAGGATGATTTCATCTAAGCCGAATTCATCAGAAGGGATTCCTTATAAATGTCTTCAGCCTTGATTTATTCCAAAGCTATTTTAGACATTACCAGAGGGAGTTCTTGAATAAATTTCAGAGCTAAAGTCCTCTGTGGGCCCATTTATCTTTGTCTCTGATTTTCTGCTACATAATTATGATTCTTACGAGTCAGGTCAATAGGTTTTTAATATTTCCCCTGTTGCTGCAAGATACTTTCCTAATAATATTGACTCGGAGTGCATGTACATAAATTAAGGGCTCTCGAGACTAGATGAAGTCCAGGTCATTTGCCAAGAGTCTACAGAAGATAGCCAGAGGACAATCTGTGGAAACGATAGGGGGAGCTTAATACAACAAAAATAGCCCTGGACTCCCTTCTATTTTGGTTGATAATTACTGGGTGAATTACCCATCAGGGTGTGGATCCAATCAAGACGAAATTAAAGAATTCACCATGTGCCTGCCTGTCTGTTCAAGACTAAACCTCCGAGAGTGATTGAACTCTTGCCGATGCACTTTTCTTGATGAGTCAAGGTTCTGCAGCTCTTTATCATTCAATATGGTATCAAGTTATACTTGGGATGGAGATGAATATAAACAAACTTTTAATTGTCTCTTAGTAACTATAGAATTACATACCTCTCCAAAACTGATTCATAACTCAAATCCTGATATTGTTTTCCATTTTGCAGAAATCAAGTCGTTATTTAGGCCTAGAGGGTAACTTTTTGCATCTCCCTGCTTTGCATGAATAATATTTCTCCATGCATTTAAAGGTTTATTATTGAAGGTCTCAAAATTTATATGTATTATATAGATCTCTAAAATCAGGTCCTAATCAGGTCATATACTTAGGTGAAAAGTAAATCACAGGTATTTCATTGTTACCTACCTACTTAAAACTATCATTTTAAATATATAAAATGTATTGTTTTGGAGCAACAAGAATTTAACAGAATCCTTACACTAGGTATTCAAGGGTATATCCACCCTGATATTTAGTTGGTTTAAATAGAAGCAGAACAATGAGAGAAACAGGTCAGTGAAAGTTAGAGCAAAAACCAGTTAAAAATAAGAAAGTTATGAATTTTTTGAAAGTGCCATCAATCAAACACAAATTGGCATTTTTGTGAGAGCTCCCCTCTTTCTTGACCTGTACTAAAAAAACTTCAAAAAATTATGTTTTCCCCATGAGAAAATTTTCTAAAGAAAGCATATTGAACAAGAACTTGCAAGATACTTCACAGTGTTTACAATTTGTGTTTCACTGATGACAATTTTAAAAATTCATAACTTTCTAAGTTTTAATTGGATATTGCTCAAACTTTCACTAATTTGTTTATCTTGTTTTTTTCGCTTTTACTTAAACCAGCTTAACATCAGGGTGGACTGCTCCTTTAATAACTTCTAAATTAAAGGTGAACTTGTTAGTCAGGCTACAAATGTGTTCCAGGCTAGTATTTTGATTTCCCCATCTTCTCATGGGTGTGTACAGGCTTTAAAAAAAAAATTGTTGATCCTTTCCTTTCAAGCCGTCCCATCTCTTGTGCTATTCCCAACATATCAAAAGTTAAACTTAATCCTTTCCAAACCTTTAGAGATTAGACTAAATTCATGATGACCCATGTTTCACCTCATGTTGTCAGCAATGATCATCTGACAAACCAGTCTCAATTACAGTCTGTATTGTACACTGTTGCCTTGTCTTTGTGTATGAGTTTGAAAAGAAATGGGACAAATAAGCAGCCCATCCAATTAACTGGGGATTATTTGGTAGATTAGCTCATGTTTCATGTGGATAATAGGGTCAACCAGTTGTGTCACGTATTTTACGATGAGGACCGATCATGCAAGGAAGTTGTTAATTTCTTGATGGAAATTGATAAACTTCACAAACTTGCTGGGAAAGCTACAAGTATAGGTGCAACATTTTCATTGTAGCACTTCACAAATTCTTGTGAAAGCCTCCTTTACCACATAGTTAGCCAACCATTACATGGACTTTGTCAAAATTTTGGAAATTAATGAATAGAGTCAATCTTGACAAAGTGAAAATTGTTTATCAGCAATTGCATATTGCAAAATCCATCATATTTAGAATTGTATACAATACAAAAAGTTGTAGGCCTACTCTGTTGCATACCTGCATTTATTTTATGAATAATTGATATTCACAAATATTGGACTGTACTTTTGATCACCAAAACTAAGATTAGACAAACAGTGATTAAACTAGTCAGCCCACTGGGTGACTACTTTAATGCCAGCGATGTTATTCTGTTTCTACTGTCACTCATCCTCTGTTTCCAGGAGGATTATTTATCATGGATGCCAGCAGACACTTATTGTCAGTTCTCTGTGGACAGCGACATGAATCATGTGTTGAGCATTAAAATGGGCAGGGTCACTAAGGGAGTGCTACCTAGTTGCCCTCAAGGCAAGCACCATCCACACTTTAGCTATTTTGGAAGATAGTTTTTTAGAAGTGATGCTTCTCAAAATTTACCTTTAAAATATCTGATAGGCCTATGTCAGAGTATTACCCTTTCAGGGGCATCACTATTAGTCTAATAGAAATGAATCCCCTGTATAAGATCAGTGCTAGCAATTAAAAAAAACAAAAGGATTATGAGTGGGCATGTCAATTACTCCCCCCCCCCCCCCTCCCCAGATGTGGAAACTTTGAAACCATTCATTCTACAACTATTTGATTGATAATATGCATGTACATTGTAAGTAATATTTTAGCTGAGTGAACGGCACAGATATCAACATTTGTACATTG